ATGATTCACATTCCGGAAGACTTTGTCGGCTGCGAGGTTCTGGTCTGTGCTCGCTCAACGGAGCCGGTTCGTCAAGTTAGGAGTGTTTCCGCTGCAGGTAACAGCGGGAGCAGCTGCCGCGCAGCACCCCTACTTTAGTGTGCCACCTGGGATAGTCCTCCCATGGTGGGCGGAGACCGTGCTCAACGGAGTCGGTGGCTTGAAGTTCAAAAGCCGCAACTACTACCCCCTCATCGTCGTGGACCATGCAGCAAGCATTATGCCCACAATCCAGCAACTCCACCTTGACGTGGTAAAAGGTACCCTTGAGGGTGCTATAAGAGCGCTTTCAGGGCACTATGAATACTGTTATATTGAAGGGTGCTATAACGGCGCTATGGGGGTATTAAATTATTAAATGGGCGCTATGAGGGTACTGCGAGGGTACTATAACTGGGTTCCCGAGTACCATGCTTCAAAGGTACCATGTGGGTTCTGTAATGGTCCTATAGGGGTTGTGGAGTGACAGACTTCAATTGAAGTGACTTCAATGTTGCATTTTTAAGGACCTGTTCCTTAAACGAGCCATTTCGACAGGAAAGTCTACACTATAATATACGTTTATATACTATAAGAACCAATTCTTTTCAATCCTATAATCTACTTTTTGCTCCCTCGTTACATCAATGTCCAGTTGATTTGACGGCCTTCAAGGCTTCCTAGAAACCCGGTTAATACGATTAAGGCTGAGGGTTTCTACAATGGGGATTATATGCTTTCGATATCAGGGTTTAGGGTTTAGGGTCGGAAGTATTGTTAATATGATTCCTGGTGCCTTTTAGGGTTCATGAACATCAGTGTGCCATACTGTAGTAAACCGCTTAACAAAACATGGTTCTTTGTAATTCAGGCCCCAATATCACTTGTTTAATTGATTACAGGGCCATGGGTACTCAGAGCCTTTCTATTGGGCTCAAGGAATCGTTGAAAGGTGTCGTCGGATATTCATAAAGGTTTGGGTGCTTTTCTCAGGGGTTTAGGGCTTATCGGGCTTTGTCTGGTGACGGTGTGGTGCTGGGGTGTCAGGTTTCGGATCTTCCCGGCTAGAGTTCGGGTTCTCAGCAAGGTCCTGTATCATCGTTCACAGTTTAGGGTACTGGTTTAGGGTTTACATAGGGGTTCAGGGTTTAGGGTTCACGGTTTAGGGTACTGTGTCATCTTGCACAAGTCAGAGCGGCGTGTTTTTGCATCCTAGAGCCATGATCGTGGAGACTGTATGTAACTCAAGACTACATGGGCATTGTCGCGGACCAACCTACCTGTATCTACGAAACGAAATAGTAGGCTCTGAGCCCATTGCTTTAGGTAAGTCCTAAACCCTAAACCGCATAAGAAACAAAAGATAACTCTATAGTCTATACCCTAAACCCTAATTAAACCCCAAACCCCAAACTGTCTATAAGCCCTCCAAAGTCACCGAGGTGCCGTGCGCGGGAAGGTCCCTTCCGGAGTCGGGTTTGAGAGGGCCTTGCCACGAGCCCTCTCCGACGGCCGACTAGGCCTCGCTTGTCTTTGCCTTCTTTTGTGAAAGGGATGGAGGATTAATTAGGGTTTATGGGGCCAGGCAGTTCCTTGTTTTTTGGGTGAGAGGTCAGGGTTTTGAGGGTTCAGGTTTTTGTGAGGGGACGGGGTGCTTTGCGTTAAGGGTTCAGGATATGGGGTTTGTAGCAGTTCTGCGGTGTTCTATAAGGGGTCAACCATTCTACAACAAGGGTCTTATAAGGTTTTGTGTGTTTTCTCTTCTGGTAAGGCTTAGGGAGCGTGGTTTAGGTTGAGGGTTTGGGGTTGCGGGGAAGTGGGGGGCGATGTGAGGGTTTAGTAGTCCAGAGCATCCTGCTGGGAGTTTTACGCATGACTGGGGTGAGTTTGGGGTTTAGGGTATTTCGGGGAGTGAAGGCTTTTTGTTTAAGGTCTGCGGCCGAATACTAGGAAGAAGGGAGCCTTCATTACTAGGGGGCCAAAGAACTTCTGCTTGGACTCGGCGCTTCTGAGGATTTCCGTTGCTGTTTCGAAACTTCTCGGATTTCTACGCCTTCTAGTGGGGTCCAAGCAAGCACATGCGCATCCGGATCCTCTCAGGGATACATAAGAATATGGGTAATAGCAGCAGGGGAGAAGAATCTCTAAGCTTTGTTCGCAGCCTTTGGAGGGCATAGAAGGGCAATCCACAATCAGGAAACTAAAATGGTGTCGGTTTGTCAGGGTCTAGGTGGGTGTTGAACCCTCCAAACCTGCAAACGATCAGGCCATTTTGCATTGCAGGCGGTGCTCCACACAGACGTGTGGGCCCCGGTTTTGAGGAAGCGTGGCGTACTTGTTCTAAGGCGGCTCAGGGTCTTGCAATATCTGCTAAATTCGTGGTCTTACAATGTCCACTGGGAAGTCCGCTGGAAAATGCTGTGCGTTCTCCATTGTTGGGTTCAGGACGTTCTTACTTTCGAACATCTTTCTGTACGAGGGCCCGCAGGGCCTAGCCAGTGGAGTGCAAAGTGCAAAGGTCAGCTTGGATCGCAAGCCCTAAACCCTAAACCCTAAACCCTAATCCCTAAACCGCGAAGCGTTCAAAGGACCCAATGATGAGACCCCTCGGCTTTTTGATCCGCCGTAGTCAGGTAGGTCACTGCTTGGGGGAGTACATGAGTGGGTACTCCCAGCCTTAAGGGCCCCCTAAGTTCCTTGAGCAAGAACGCATACATATAAAATTAGATGCACATATATGTACGACATAAAATACATACATATACAGATATATTTATATGTATGTAGTTGTCTATATGTATAAAAATTTGTATATATGTATATATGTTTTATGTGCATATATGCACATATCATATGCATGTAGGCATAGCTACAGCCATAGGTTTAAGTATAGGTAGGTATAGGTAAATGTATATGTACATGTAGATGTATGTAGTTCAGGGCTCAAAGTCTATGTCATGTATATAGTTGCATAGACTCGAGCACGCTTGGGCTTAGAGCGGGCCGCCCTCGAGGCAAAGAGATTTCCGGGTGGCGTGCGCTTCGACACGTCGGCCTCCAAGGAGCCGAATCGAGGGTTCAGCCTTGTCCTTTTTCATGGTTCCCCCAAAAGAATAAACAGACCGGCTAGTAGACCTTCTTAAATAATTCCTATTAAGGGATGTAGGTATAGGGCTCTGTCTATTATCTCTAAAAGGACAAGGGTTCGAGGGTTTAGGCTCCCTTTTTGGGTCGCTCCTTTGAAGGGTTGCTGTACTATGAGGGTTCCTTTAAGGGGTGCTAAAATTAGGGTGCATAGTCAGGGTAATATAAGGATACTACCAGGGTTTATAGCGTTTAGGGGTTTTGGGTGTTGGGTTCTTTTGACGGTGCTAAACTGGGTACACAAATGAGGGTACATAGTACGAGTGCTGTAATCAAGGGGTTTGGAAGTTCAGGGTCCATGTCGGGGATCCTTTTAACATGATTGCTTTTCTGTTAGTTGCCTAAAAATCATGGTTTAAAATCTGTTGTCTTTTTGCCTTTTTGTCGTGTTAAGCTTTCCCAATACCAAGAACGGAGCCGTTTGTTGTTTTCTTCCTAGGTTATTCGGGTACCTAGCATACTTATGAAGAAGACCACGAAACGTACAGAGCCATCACGGCTGGAGCTAAGAATCTCGTGCCTTGACCAGGACTGCGTACGCCGACGCATGACCTTGGTGTGTCTTCACGGCATTGCTTGTGGGTGTTCCCCGGACCCTAATCCCGACGGTATAAAGAGCCTAAACCATGAATCTCCACATCCTGTAGAGCTCGTTTTGCTCCCAAAACTTTTGCAAGATCTGTTCAGGCCTTCCCATTGGGGCGGCGGATGTCAAGTTTGTTGTTCGGGTGTTGGTGCTGAGGAGCCGATTCTGATTACCTTGATGGTGGTGGTGCACGGTAAGGTAAAGGCTGGATGGGATGTACACTCCGAGATCTTTATCCGTAAACCCCGAATCCCCGAACCTAGATGCCAGACCAAAGAAGACTGCGAAGCGAAGACCTTCGATACTTGGAGGATCATGGGACTTGTAAGTAAGGTTATAAGTTCCTTAAGTAGGTGTATAAGTATAGTTACCCTAATTATAACCTTAGTTACTAAGTCCCATGATCCTCCAAGTACCATCACCCCCCCCCCAACTACCTCTTATTAGGCATCTTCAGGGTTTCCTTCGGCTTTACAAGGCTCTTGGAGAATAATTCGGAGTTTGGGGTTATCGGCCGATACCGCATTGTAAGTTATGAGGAGTTGGTTTAAGGGCTTGAGGAGTGGCTCCTGTTGAAGGTTGCTTTCCGTTGAAGGGTTTAGGGTTGCGGCACCTGAAGAATCCATTTGCCAAGCATTTGGGACTCAAGCTGCCAAAGGCTGGGGCCTACCAGCACCCCCCAACCACTACAGTGCCTTCTAAGATTTTCAGAGCGCCCCGCTGAGTTGCCACCTAAGCCCGAATCCCCATCCCTTGTCTTGTAGTATCCTTAAGGGAGGGGGGTCCAAGGGGGGTATATAGCCTAGTGAACCCTAATTCTCCCTAGTACTCCCTAAGGTTCCCTTACAGTCCCCTAAGGATTCCTTATACCCTCCCCCCTTGAACCACCCTCCCTTAAGGATCCTATAATTGTCTTTACTGACACAAAGCTCCAGTCCCGAACGCCGAACTCTGAGCCCGGCCCCCTCCTGAAACGAAACAAACCCTAAGGGTCCATGTTCCCAAGTAGTATATACTTCGGCCTTAATGTAGTCCCCCTATATAGGTACTTTGGGGCCTTGATGTAGTCCCTATATAGGTACTTTGGGGCCAACGCATATACTGCATGGAACCGTTAGGGAAAAATCTCCCGAGGCCCTTGGACCTAAGCCCAAGGGCCATGATGCGCGAAGGCCGAGACACTCAACCCTTTCATAACTTAGGGGTACTTAGAAATATCTTTAACTTTTGGTTATTATAATCATTAATCCCTAAGAAACAGCTAAAATTATAAGTTTTTTGCTAGGGTTCTAAGTTCAGTATAGCAAACCCTACAGTAGAAGACCAAAAGTTGGAAACCCAATAGCCTCAAACCTTCAGAGTAAGGGGATTCCAGCACGAAGTGTGCTTTATCCGGTTTCCAACTTTTAGGGTTTAGGGTTTAGGGTTTAGGGTTTAGGGTTTAGGGACTTTTTGGGGTTCACTATAATCCCTATAAGCTTCAGATCCCAAACAACCTCGAAATAGCAAGGAACGACTTCGATCGCGAGTTGCCGCGCCCGAATCCCGCGCCGCGATCCCTGGAGCCCGGGTCCCGGTTGCCTATGACGATCCTTTCATAATGTAGGGCCATGTGGGAGTTTCCGAAAATTAGGGGTAGCTTTCTTGGGTCCGTATAATAAGGATCCTATTCTTTAGAGTACTATATGTTAGGGTCCCCTATTTTCGGAAACTCCCATGTAGGGGCCTTCGGGGTCTACTATGGTATCATAACATTCAAGCAGGCAAATGATTGAAAACTGGCAATCAGAAGGCTTCTACCTTGTTTTGGATCCGAAGGTCTCTACATGAGCCCCTCGCTCTTCACTGAGCCGTATTTCTTGATGTAGTGGATGCCCTTATTCACTGCGTGCTTCAATGTCTTCGTGCAAGGGGGCGGGGGGGCCTTGAGGGGAAGGGGGGTCGGTAAGATCTTTCTACCGCCTGCGAAGGATAACTCAAATGAAGCCCTCGAGTTAGTTAACCACTAGAGCAGAGGTTCCTAAGTAGTAACCTGTTGCCCTTTTTCCCTTTGGGGTTCCCTTATTAACGCCCAATACTAGGAACAAAGTGTACCCTTATTCTCAAGGGGCTACCGGGCTTTTCCCTTCGGGGTTCCCTTATCAAAGCACAAGAGTAGGAAAAATAGGTGTACCCTTATTATCATGGGGCCACTCAGGAACCAAGAAGCTCTACTTGGAGGTTCATGGGTAGTCATATTATATTATAAGTGGGGTTATAAGTAGGGTAACCATATTTATAACCCATATCAGGGGACTTATAACCCCACTTATTCTACCCATGAACCTCCAAGTACACCCTGATTCTCAAGCCCCCGATCCCCACACTCCCTGGTTCGCGCCGTTCCTCCCGTCCGAGGTACCATGATCCAACTGCGCGAGCCCAATCTACCGCAGCAGGTTTTGCGGTTGGGGTCACCAGGCTTTCGAACGATTGTGCGGGGTTAACTAGGTTTTGCTCCAGGCTTAAAGCTCGAAAGTTTCGGCATCAAGTAGGGTTGTAGGATGCGGGGGTCAATTTTTATCTTGTCGGGGAGCCAATACCCGTGCCCTCTAAAGAGCTCAGCTCCAATCACGAATTTCTCACCAGCCTCAACCCTAACCCCTCAGCCCCAGACCCCTAAACTCAAAACCGATAAACCCTAAACCCTGTAAACCCGAAGGCCTCAAATCGCGAACTTGTCTTTCGCTATGTGGAATCTTGAACCTCCTTTTGACTCTTCGAGCGCTTATGGCGTTACGGTTTTTTTAGACCAACCAGCCGAGACACTCGACATGCCGACAAAGTCCCCAAAGCCCTAAACAAAACCCTCCTGAAGCCATATGAAATCACCAGCAAATTTCACGAATGCTTACACAGCTCTACCTACTATAGTCTCCACTGCAGTTCCTTTGTGGGTTTCCTTGTAGAATCCTAAACATAAACTTGGTTAAAGCAAAAGAGGAACTACAATGGAGACTACTGTAGGGGGATTAAAAATTACCTTTCCTATACTATTTTGGGGGTCCCTTACTGTATTTATGGTATATTGGGCCCCGAAACCCTATTCTAGTTACAAGGACCTTACATTAAGGCCCTAAGCCTCTAAGCCTTCAGCCCGAACTATCCTCAAAGGACCCGGAGGCCTGTGAGGTCACGCTGCGTCCGGGACTCGATGAACATTTCTGTTTTGGTGGCGTTCACAGGGTTTCTACAATGGTCTTCATGGTTTTTGCAGAGGTTTTGCAGAGTTTTTGTGCCGTTATGGAGTTATCGTATGAGTTTTATCTACGGCTGTGGTCGGTTTTCAAAGGATGTATAGGATCCATATAGGTATCCTGCTGGGGGTATATGGGCTTGGAGGTCAGGGGGCTGAATTAGTAAGAACGTTATTAGCACCCAATTTTTGGCTCATAAGCGCGGAGTTTGTTCCCTGGATCCCTGAACGGACCACCCAAGGTGTAGATTCGCCAAAGCCTTTAGAGAAGCCCTACATGCCTCAGACTGTGGGAGTCTCAGACTGCGAGGCTTACATGAACAACAAGCTGTTTGGACGCAAAGCATTTGTTGTTTGCAGTCAAGAGTGGGCAAGAGAGAGGGACAATGTCTCACGGACCCTTTCTGAGAAGCAATGTTCGTGACGGAAATCGCTCAGTGGTACGCTCTGGTAGGAGCAAAGATGTTCTGCTGGAGCAGCGTAGCGTTTTCTGCCAATCTAGCTGTCGCAGCGAGTGAAGTTTATTCGGCCTCCTTGTGGCATCCCAGGGGTGTTGCGATTCAGCCTCATGTCAAGATTGGAATCCTCAACCGGGTCATGGCGAATGCCATGCTTGAAGGTGCCGGGTGCCGACAGACAGTCCTGGACACTGGAACCTCAAACCACTCTTGGAGGTTCATGGACAGTTGTAAGTAGGGTTGTAAGCCCCTAGCACATAATGGTTGCCCTACTTATATCCCCACTTATAACTACCCACGGACCTCCAAGCCGTTAGCCCATCTGCGTTGGTTCGGCGTGGCAGATTCAGAGGGCCGTACCTCCATCTTCTCCGAAAGCACGAAGCAGACTGGGATCTGGACTATTTGAATACCTTTTCGGACCTGTTCCTTAAAGGAGCCATTATGAAGTAAAAGCCTGCACTTGTTTCTCCCTGGTTACTTCAAAGTCCACTGAAGCACGAATTCCTGCGCTCCATCAGGCCGCATGATGAGCTACGACCCGAACGTAGCAGACCGGCATGTGGCTGGGTGGCATACCCGAAACTCGAACCCTGGGTTCGGTGTTGGGGCTGTTGGGGGCTTCCAGTGCCGGCTTGCTGTGAGGTTTTTAATAAAGCACCAGGTTCAGGGTTTATACTTGGAGGGTCGGGGGACTTAGTAAGTAGGTAGTAAGTAGACTTATAAGTACCCCAAAAGGGACCCTAATTGGGGTTATGGTAGTTATAAGTAGTAGGGTTCTGAAATTCAATCTCGTGAACTCTCGGGACCTTCAGCACCAGCCTGATTGTCCTATGGTTGCATTTCTCTTTCGGGCCCACACGGGAGTTTCCGAAAATAGGGGACCCTAATATAGTACCCTAAATAGTAGGATCCTTATTATAAGGACCCCCAAAGAAGGTACCCCGAATTTTCGGAAACTCCCCAAACCCTACACCCTTTATAGAACCTATAGATCCCTTTAAGGATCCCTTATAGAGATCCCTTTAAAGATATCCCTAAGTTTCGGAAACTCCCACACCTGAAGCTGCTACCCGATTCCAGCGAGCTTTGTTGCCCAGGGGAACTCTTGGGTTCCACATGCAGCCTTGTCCTTTTCCATGGTTTCCCCAAAAGAATAAACGGACCGGCTAGTTGACTTTCTTAAATTTAAATAATTCCTACTAACGGATATAGGTATAGTGCTCTGTCTATTATTTCTAAAAGGACAAGGAAGTCCACATCAGGTTCGGTCGTTGAACCTTCCAGCCCATGACCGTGAACCCTGAGGCCCTACCCCGCCAGAGGCGCATGTGTATATGTATCTCTGTATATATATATATATATATATGTATAGACACTATACACACATATACTTAATCATACATAATATGCATTTGCATGTGCCCATATATATATATATATAATGTTTACAAGCAGGTGTATTTGTCTACAGTCTACAACAATACAGTGACAATACGTGAACAATTCCAAATACAAGCACACAGGCCCGGACCCACACCCCGCAAATTCTCCGGAGCCCGTCTGAGTTTGCGGCTTTCTTCCGCCACTTCAAAGCTGAGCGGAGGAGAAGCTAGCCCAAAGGCTCTATGTACCTATAGAGTATATACTTAGGCTTTAAAGTACCTATATAGGGACTACTTTGGGGCTTAAGTATCTACTATGAAGGTACATGGAGCCTTTGGGTAGGGCACTCGTCGCGTTGGAAGGGCTCTCGGCCTGTACGCTGAACCTCAAAACCCCAAATGTTACATGCTAATCCTGAGGACCTGACGGCTAATGTAGGCGCCGAAATAGTTAATAATTACCGATACTATTTTGGGGGTTCCTTAATAAATTTATAGTATAATGGCCTCCGAAACCCGATTCTAATGACTCAGGCCCTTACATTCCTACCCCGCTCCCCAAATCCGAAAGTGGGCCTCTAAGACGAAAGATCCGACAAGGTGACCACAAGAAGGGACATGGCGCCCGGCTGGCTCTTTACTTCTTAGCGTTGAGGGTTGTCTGTTTTGAGTTTACTATGCCCATGGGCTCCATAGTATCTCCTTTTTTTGGAAGTTACCTTGTGGGATTCTACACATTAGCTCCAAAAAGGAACTACTATGGAGCCTATGGGTAGGGGCCGGAAAAAGCTCCTAGTGCCATACCTTGATTAGGTTCCTCATTAGCATTTACTTATTCTAGCTATCACGGCGTCGATGTAGACGAGGTTCGACGGCTTTCTTGGGGATTTGGTGATGTCAGGCTTCCGGCTTGCCTTTCTTGCAGACGCTCTCTGGTTCTCTCGAATCTTTTCGCTCTTAGTCCAGTCCTTGGGTTGGCTTTACCTCAGGGACTCTCACCTATAGTCTCCTTAGGAATTATGTTATTTCTCTTTGTTCACATAAAACCCGAGAAAATGCCCAACATCATAGTACTTGTATTCTGGTTTAATGCTCGTAGAAAAGCCTACTATGACGAATATGTGTGTTTTTTCCACATGGAGGTTTTGAAAAGTAGAAGAGAAGTGCCTTGAGCCGAAAAGAAACTAGCAAGGTACACAATAGCACCGCAACCCTCCAAGCCTTCAGCCACAACTTAACCCTAAAGTCCTAAACGGACTCTTGCCCCGTACTTGCCCAAACTGCCGATTGGTAAGGGAAGGTAGAGGTATACACACCCTAAACGTCTGAGCCCTAATTTTTCCCCGATCGTCGTAGCATCGGCCAGGCCAGTCTACGAGCGCATGCTGCCCCGTGGCAAAGAAGCGGTTCGGCTTCCCAGCTGCTAGGGTTTCCCAGGGTTTAGGGTTTAGGGCTTGCCTTGCTTTTTTTCAGTCAGGGTTAGATGAAGTGTAAAGAGCTTTCTCGGGTGTGGGTTTGCCGTTTTGGTGTCTGGGTCATGCGGATTCCCCCAACATAACATGTTTAGGGGTCTTTTGTCAGGGGCCAACATGGGCCAACGATTTTCTGAAAACACCGAGCTTTACTGTGCAAGTATGTGTGTGTGTGCCTGTGTGCATTCAGTTCTTTTACTGTAATAGGCTGTTTTAGGTGTCCTTTTGGGGATGTAGGGTTTTTCGGAGTAGGCTTCATGTGACCCGCATCCACAGAGGGTCAAGAGCCCCCCCAAGCCCAGAGCACCAGAGCAGGTTTCGGGTTTGGGATGTGGGGCCATTTTAGGGGTTTAGGGTGTAGGGGTTTCGGGGTTTGGGGTTTAGGGTTTAGGGGTTTAGGGTTTAGGGATTGAGGGCTTTAGGGGTTTAGGGTTTAGAGGTTTAAGGTTTAGGGGTCTAGCAAGGGGTTTAGGGTTTAAGGGTTTAGGGAGGTCGAGTAAGGGGTTTAGGGTTTAAGGGTTTAGGGTTTAGTAAGGGGTTTAGGGTTTCGGGATTTTGGGTTTAGGGGTATCCTGAAACCCCAAATGACAGCTAGCTTGAAAAGCTTTCAAGTTGAGGGCAGCAGGTTGAGAGTTTCGACGATGTCCAACGAAGGCCTATAATCCCTAAACCATTATCTTTACTTGACGGTAGCAACGGTAGGAGTGGTGGCATCATTTGCAACGATGCCTCAACGAGAGGATGCATATGTCGGAGGAAGAATGGCACATTATCTCCATCCCCTGTGATTCTATCACTTTTAGTTGGAGTGTGTGGATATTTTTCCAGCATGTGCGTGGATGAGGATCTGAGGCAACAACGCTTACTGGTAGGGCCCTTGAACGCATGATCCCCTAGACTCTAGACCCCTCCCAGAAACACACCGAAGTCCTTGCAGCCAGAGCCCTGAGTTTGAACCAGACTTTGAATCCCAAGCGACACCCTTAACCCTTAGAAGCCCTCAACCCCTTCTTAGCACCATGACAAGAGGGCTAAACCATTTCAGAAACCTCCCCGCGTGGCCGAAGCTTCAGGTGCAGGGCATGCGCGCACTGCAGACAGACCTGGGTGCCGCCCCTGCGGGATTCCCACAATGGGAGTTTCCGAAAGCAAGGGGTACCTTATTTAGGAGTCCTTATAATAAGGAATCTACTATTTAGGGTACTATAAGTATATTAGGGTCCCCTATGTGCAGGATTCCCGAAATGGCCCTTTTCGAATCTCTATTGTGTGTAAAGTGGCTGAAATGGATCTTTTAGGTGTTCTATTCGAGTTTGGTGTTTTTCACGCATGTAAAGTCGCCATACAATCAACAATATGAGATACCCCCAAAACGAAACCCTCTTCTATTCTTTACTGCACAGCTCCTACATATATGGTCACCGCCAGTTGGACCCCGAGCTTGCGCCGGACGTGCAAGTTAAGGGTTGTCTGGGGGGTTTGGGCTGGGTACTGCCCCCAGCCTATAACAGTTGCCTGATATGTACATCATACTTGTATATAGGCCTTAAGATGAGCGACCGTCAACTTGTATGGAACAGCAGAGTTATACTTATACTAGAGCAGACATGAGATAAGCATAAATCAGGGGTTGATCCGCAGAACGATAGGGGATACGCAGAACACTGACCTCTAATATGAACTGCTACTCAGTGCAAGGTTTCTTTTTCAGGTGTTTAAGGCTTCCTGCCAAGTTTAGGGTTTCGAGGTTTGGGGTTTAGGCTTTGGGGGCTTTAGGGCCTAAGGTGTCCATGGCGAGGCTTTTGCGTGTGGAGTAGCTTAGCACAAACAGGATCTGACACTGGGCATTCTATGACCGATCCGCGATCTTTGAACAATCTCCCATGCTACCCCTAATCCCTAAGCCCCCTCCCTCTGCAATCCGACCAAGACTTTCAACAACCCGTGTGACACCGTTGTCGCGCCTTTTCAACACTCTACAAGAGCCGGAGTTAAAAACACCCTGCTCGGAGGTGTCCGAGGGGCTGCGGGACTTGGCTTCATCGAGACCACAGGACAAAGGACCCTTCCTGTGGAAAAGCGCGCCCGGCCATCTTGATCCAGGTATAGGGGTTTGGGTTTAGGGCCGAGGGCCTTGGGAGTTCATGGATGTGTCGAGGTTAGGGTTTAGGGTTTGAGGAAGAGGGTTCAGGAATTTCGATGTAATCAGGATGTGGGGTTTATACCTACTAGTAGTAACAGTAGTATTAGAAAGTTAGCTTGCATGATCGGTCACCTGAAGTCCGATGCTGAGTAGCTGGAGATCTGATTTCCCCTTGTTGAGGTCCCTTGTTTGGGCATTGTTGCTTTGGCGCAGGGCTTTCAAGGTCTCTCGTTTCAAAGCTCGGAGATAAGCCCTCCAACCTTCGACCCCAAGGCCCGCCAAGCCCTAAATTCCCTGATTTCTGGAGTGACATACTTGAACATATTTTTTGGAATGTCTTGATTAAAGGAACCATTATGACATGAAAGTCTGTACTTGTGTTCTCCCTGGTTACTTCAATTTCCACCTGTAGCCGAAAAGACCTATCTTTTGAGGGTTCCTTATTATGGTTTCTATATATATATATATCTATATGTCTATATACATATATGTATATATAGTTCCTCAAAAAGGTATGTTTTTTCTGCCAAAGGCAGTTCCCTAAAGCTCCAAATGCCAGGCTCGAGGGGCGAAACGCAGTGAGCAGCTGAGCGGTCTCTGCTTTAGTCACTAGGGTTCCCTTTAAGGGCTTAGGGTTGCTAGGTATTGGGTTCCATAATAGGGTATGGGTTCAGGGTTTAGGATTGAAATGGTTCTGTAAATAGGGTTCCCTTTACTAAAGGAGCCCCTTAAAGCAACCCCTAGGTTTTTTAGGACTCCTGAGGGGCAGCCTACAAGGACCCCCTTCAAGGTCACTAATTGCAGCGTCCTGTGATAGGGTTCCCTTTAATAAAGGAGCCCTCAAAGGATCCCAAAAGGATCCCTAGGACCCCTTAAAGGGAGCCCGTAAAGGATCTCTTTAAGGCAAGGATGGCGGTCTATGATAGGGTTCCCTTGATGAAGGTTACTATATACTAAACTCCAAAAGATTGGAAGCCGGATTAAGGACAAGTAGTGTTGGGATTCCGTGTACATCACTCTTCAGGATCGAGGCTATTGGGTTTCCAACTTTTAGGCTTCTGCTGTAGCGCTCTTTGATAGGGTTGGGTTCCGTTTGAGGGTACTACAGGGTTCTATATTCCTTAGATGGAAATAGGAAAACCTTGAACTTGTTGGCTTGGTATACTTGGTCTGTCTGTGAAAGCTTGAACTCTTTCAAAACCGGCCATTGAAGAAGATAGGTCTGCATGAGACCCTTAGCTGCCATAACCTGTGTCTCTGCAGGGAGCTAGTAGAAAAGCCCCAAGCACTCTAGATCCTAACAGCCGCAAACCCGGAACCCTATCACACAGTTCTTAGCGACCCTTCATCAACACAGGTTACAGCGGTTATGGTTTCGTGGGGTACGGTTTCGGGCTCAGGTTGTTGGTTTGGAACCCTTCTTGTGTAGGGTGTTTCCAATGTAAGCTGCAGCCCAATCTTCTAAGCCACACGCACCTAAACCCCAAACCCTAAACCCCTACCCAAACCCCTGAACACCCAAAGCCCTAAAAACTTTAGAAAGTCTCAAACCGCCAAGAACGCCGCGTTCCAGCGGCCAGACATTGGGCCCAAGTGTCTTGAAAGCATCGACAGTTCGAGCTTCAACTTCGGCTATTACGGGCAGTAGAGGTTAGGGGGGGGGGTGCGATTTTGTAGGGTTTTTGTTCAGTAAGTACTGAAGTTAGGGGTTTCCCAGGGGTCTTATAAGTATGTATCGGGCCTTTAGATTTGGGGATGGCAGTGGCTTATGGGTACAGTTTTTACGGGTCATTGTATAGGGGATTGGGTCTTGGGGTTCAGTGTAGAAAGCCTAAATGGTTGATCGTGCAGAAATATTCAGGATTTTCAGTTATTCTGAGAGGATAGGCACAACTCGCAACTCAAGGCAGCAGTTTCTCCAACACCAAACGAGCGTTTGATTGGCAAGTGAAGACCATAGCTGCACCACATCATCTGGGTTCCTGAGTAGTACCCTTTTGCGCTTTTCCCTTTCAGGTTACCCTATTAGAAACAAATAGTAGGAAAAACGGTCCCCTTGTTAGTAAGGGGCTACTCAGGGATCTAGACATCACTTCACATCCCTGAACCAGCAACCCAATCCCGCAGCAGCAACAATCCTGAAAGTTAGCCCCACCCAAGTCCTACACGTGCCTGAACCCGCAACCGCATAACACATACTGCTTGAAGCCCTGGTCTAAACCCGACGCCTCTTTGGACCAGCAAGCTTGTCGCACCTGAGGTGCGGATCTTAGATCTCAAGTCTTACACAAGCCCACCGCAGCAACGTACTCGTTCGTAGCAACCTTGGGGCCTACCCCAAAACCTTCGACATGCTTCGAGGCAGTTCATCCCTGTACCCGACACCCGAAGTCCATAGATGATGCTGCTGCTATCGCCATGGATATGAAGCACCCCTATTCCACTGTCACATTGACACGTTCGTTCTTACTTTTCATATTAGGCTTCATGACCTTGTGACTACATAGTGATAGGACTAATTGATAAGAGATCCGAAAATCCTGAAAGTTGTAAGCCCCAATCGTGGCAACCCCTAAACCCTATAACGCTAAACCGGTGACATCTGACCACCCAGGTTCGATCACCTGACGTACTTCGAGGCTCTCAACGTCATCGCCTCGTCGTCCACAGACCATTTTTTGGTTTGTGTGCAAAGGTAGCCACTCAAACATACCACACGCATGAAAAAGACGAAACTCGAGCACAGCAATCGAAGTAAAAAGTAAAGTCTGGACTCTGCAGGACCCCACTTCAGACAATCGCGGCCTGAAGAAACTGTGAATGATTGTGATCCCATTCCTTACTTTGATTAGTAAGGACTAAGAGGATCAAGAGGGGGAGTCGTAAGTAGCATTACAGGTAATTGGGGTTGTAGGTACGAGTGCCCGCATCCTTCAAGGAAGTGAACTTAGCCCTGGGCAGCCCAAGTATCCTGTGTGCGTGCTGTAAAGCTTGATGCAATGTGAGTTGTCCGCGCAGCACCCATTTACATGCTGGTGAATTTAATTTCACTTGCAAGATGGAGGAAGAGCGTCTTAAGACAGCAGCGAGGGTTTTGTTTAAAACTCAACTTGCACCTTTCAGCCAACCCGAAACCCTGTGCATGCCATCTAGTCCGCTGCAGTGCCGGCATATAACCTCCATGTAAAATGTAGGTGTCATAGTAGGCCTGTAGATGCCCGCAGCCCGAAACCATCCCAGCGCTCAACGCCTACTTGGAGGTTCATGGGTAGGTATCAGTCAGATTATAGGTCCCCTGATATGGCTTATAATTACCGTTCCCCCTACTTATAACCCCACTTATAACTACCCATGAACCCTAAACCCTATACCTATACCTTTATAGAATCCCTATAGATCCCTTTAATGGGGCCCTTAGAGGAACCCTTATGAGATCTGAGTGTCGGGCTTCAGGGTCGAAAAGTGCCTGCTGGCGCTAAGTTGGAGACGAACCACAATGAGGGCAACATCGTCCACGGAGCCGGGCCGTCGTTCGTCCGGGGCCATGGACACCAGGGGGCTTTTTCGGGTCTGATCATCCCTTCCAAATATCGTAACAGAATGACTTTTTTTTATGGCAGCAATCATAATACATAATAATTCGAATTCCAGATATTATAACACAATCACAGTTATAATGGCAGTAATATACAAAATGAAAAATAATAACATGCATGCAGGTGTTTTGTAGCACGAATACTGTAGCCTGCATCAGACAGCTTGGGCTTCGGAGTCAGGTTTCAGTCCGAGATCGGAAGTTGACCTCGCGGCGCAGCATTAGGACAACGACACAGGCAGTTTAGGCTTCAGGGTTTAGGGCACCGCTGGAGGCAAACTGAGCATCGCAGCAGCCGATAACGAAGAAGATAAGCCGTTTCCGGGGTATGTCTGCTCAGGTCAGTTCAAGCTAGGCGCTTAGGTGCCCAAGGAAATTAGCTCTTGCGCACTGGACACAGTCAACCAATCATTCTATCATTCAATCAAGTACTTGCTCAGTCAGTCAGTCAGTGGATCAGTCGATCCGTCAACCAGTCAGTCAGTCAAGAAAGGCAATAACAGCCATTATGAACATGAGAAGAATCATGATGATTGTAATAATAATCACATAGTACTACATAATCATATAGTTTAGGGTTGGGGCCGGCTTCGTCTGTTCAGGAATCCCCTAAGACAGAATCCGAATATAGCCTCAAGTAACAACCGAACTGTGAGCTTCTGCACCTTTAGGCTTTAATGCAGGGTTTAAGTTTAGGGGTTTAGGGTTTAGGAGTTATTTTAGGGTAAACTTCAAGAGCCCCGAAAAACCTAAACAGATCTGAAGAGCTTGCAGCAGTATCTCGTCCCAGGACACGAGGCCGGCACCACGTTGCCCGCGTCGGGTTCGCGGAGAAATGCACTTCCGGCGCCAGGTGCCTTCGTCAGCCAAGGTTAATGCTCCAGGTCCGGAGTTGGTGTTCGGCAGTACAGCCGCACCTCTAGTCTCCATTGCAGTTCAATTTTGGGCTTAATGAGTTTCATTTTGGAGGACCCGATTACGTAACCCAGAAAGTAACTCTACAATGGAGACTATAGGTCTGTTGGAAGCTACCGAATCCCCTGATTTAGTAGATACTTAAGCCCCAAAGTAGTCCCTATATAGGTACTTTAAAGCTTAAGTATATACTATTTGGGTACATGGAGCCTTTGGGTTCAGGAAACAGAACGCGTGAGTCTTTGGGCTCAGAGTTTGAGGTTTGCCGTTCAGGGTTTTGGATGGTCATGGTTCACCATCTTGGGGATGAAACCCTAAACCCTAAACCCCTAAACCCTAAACCTTAAACCCTAAACCCTAAACCCTAAACCTTAAACCCTAAACCCTAAACCCTAAACCATGAACGTGTTTGATTCAGAGAGCGGTGCGGAGGATTAATCGAAACTATCTCAACTGGGGCCTAGACCTACGATCCAAAAAGCCCTAAACGCTCACCCGGGTTTAGGGTTTTGAAATTTGGGGTTTACAGGTTTAGGGTTAGGAGTTTAGGGCTTAGGGTTTATAGGGATTTAGCGTTTCAGGGAAACCTCTCAAATGCTGCAACCCCAGAGATCGACAGCGGGGGCTTGGTGCGGTTCGGCTCGCAGGCGCCGCAGGGCTTCTCCAAAGGCGTTAAGGCCAGCGGCTTCGGATCGGGGGGTTTTGGGTTTAGGGTTTGGGATTGTATGGGGGATCTACAAGAGGTTTACATGCTTCCGGTTCTAGGTTTTACCTTATCCCGGAATGACTTACCGAGTCCAGGGCTTATCTTATCTTCCCTGTGGGATTCGGAAAGAGTGTCTGCGCGTGCGAGGAAGGGGGTGAAGTGCCTTTGAGATCCGGGCAAAGCACATTTTTCAATTCAGTTTTTGAGCTTCAGTCTTCGCGTTGATAGCAGATTTCTGCTGTCCTGTCAAGCAGAGCACTGGGGTGAAGTGTCGACGGCTGCTTGCCTGCATCGCGCGGGTAGTCCCACGGCATGACATCGAAAGGACACAGTTGCACCTGACATGCGGATCCTAGCCGCGACAAGGATTAAACATGGAGAACCCTCAAGAATAGTATAACTGTTTAGACCCCGTAGACCGCTAGATCATAACCTTGTGAAAAGTCTTATGTAAAAAACGTATAGAACCACCCTGAGTCTGATCCGCTCCCATCGGCTTGCAGGCGACGGGGCCAGCAGATGCCAAGGCAACGGAAACGATTCAGGATTGCAAGGTTGGATATTAGCATCCTTCCGTTGGGTTTAGATGCAGTGTTTCTTTTAGGTGGGCATGTCAATGATTCAAGGCTGGATTTTACTATTTTCCTTTGGGTCTAAATCATTCGGGGTTGTTGTTTTCGTTTCTGCTTCTAAAGGGTTCAGATGACTGAAAGCTATATGGGTGGTTCCCAAAATTCTGGTCCCTTTTTGGGTACCCTAAATAATAGGTGCCGTATTTTCATAAGGACCCAAAAAGGGACCATCATTGTGACAACCACCCAAATGTTTTCTTATGTTGCACATCATACTCATGTCCAGGTTAGCTACTATGCTCTCGCCAAGCAGACCGACGGCTTTCAGAAGCTGATCAGTGTCTCGGACATCCAACGGCCCAAAACGGCTGAGATCCGTGACAACTTCGAAACCTTGGTGAAGGGATCGTGGGAGTTGTGCTGCCTAAACCCTAAACCCTAGACGGTTTAGGGTTTAGGGTTTGAGTTTAGGGTTTAGGTGTGTCAGAGCGACCCTTTGGGTCTTGGGAAAGGAAAGGTGGGAGCTGAGAAGCACCAGTTCGGCTTGCCTGAGATTGCCTGTGTCTTTGCCAAGGAGCTCAAGAAAGGCACCACGGAGGTATGTAGGCTCCTACCATCATTGAAGAGTTAGCCGTTTCCGAGCTAACATGCCCAACCACTAAGCATAGAGCTTGCCCACGTACTAAGTGGCAACGCGGCATACTCTATGCCAATGTAAGAACCAGAATTGGTATCCCATTATTGCCCCCACATTATATGTATGTTTCATGTTCTAGTTAGTTAATACGGCCCCTGTGATAAGGTGTGGGTTTTGTGGCTGAGGAGAGTTTCAAGGGAACAGCTTCTTTGCAGTTGAGTTTACATGAGAAGATAATCCAGGCTTCCGTCAAATTGCACCTCCTTGGGTTGCTCGTTTTCCAGACCAGCAGAAGCTGCAAGATCCGGCAAGGGAGTGAGCACTCGTGGCTTCCGCAAATGATAAGTGGGTCTTCTTGCTTGAGGGGCTGAGCCAGGTGTTTCGTCACAGGTTCAATCGGTGGCTTCCGACTAGTCATTAAGAGCTTCCATGCTCGGCGCAAACGCTCTTGCCTTTTGAGCCTCATTTCTAAGCCCTAAAGCCTCCCACCCCTAAGGCCTACCTATAGGCCCCAAAGTAGTTCCTTTTTGGGATTACCCTATAGGATTCTATATATGAACCCCAAAAAGGAACTACTTTGGGGCCTTAGGGTATACCCTATCCCTAAAGCGCGCCTTTAACTTCCCTAAACCCTTAACCCTATCCCTAATTTGCTCCGCAGGTGCAACGTCAAAGCCGTGCATACGAGGCTGCCGTCCGTGGGAGGGAGACCAGGGCCGGGAACCGGTGGCAAGGGCTCGAACTTTCGGATCTTATACTAGGTAACTTTGTCATAGTTGGGCAACATTTTACATTTTGATGGGTACTTAAACCCCAAAAGGAATAAACATGTAGATTTTTAATCCTTTCCCAACCATGAACTAGGGTATGTGTCGGGATATTTGTGAATATCCCTTCTTGTTGAAGATGGAAAGCTATACAATTCTGACTAATTTTTGGGACTACCTGCTGATTATAGTTCTGCTGCGAATGCTGGCCCTTGGCCCTGAGGGCTTTACTGCCTGAGTCCTCCTCCGACCTCCCTGATGGTTACCAAAACGGGGCCGTATTATTTTGAAGGCTCCTCAGTAGAATCATGGTAATTATAACCTACCCCAAAACACTAGATTACGTAGTAAGGCACCGACTCTAAACCCTGATAATAGCTCTTATAGTAGCCGTTATAGACCCCGTTCAAAGGAACCCTATTCTAAGTGTTCAGGCCCCTACATCACACCAGGGCATGGCTTGTCGTCTCTGCTTGAAGCTCAGTGTCATACACACCGCAAGAACTGGGTGTTCCTTAGGAATCAGTTATAGTTATATGCTATATACACTCGCTTGGGTAGTTCAAGTATTTACTTCCACTGGCATACAGAAAAGGTGGTAAAACAGGAAAAGAGCAACACAACAACGCCAGTCAAGTCAGAACTTTACAAGCTCCGTGGCTCGTGCCCTAGCCCCGCCCCTGCAACCCTCAGCCAGCAATGAACAAAATCCCGAAATGCTAGTGTAATCCGAAAATCGAAACAAGCACAGCCCCACGATCTACGGCCCGAATCCTGTGTTGGCGGGGAAATACACGAGAAATCCGTGGCCCGATGACAAGAAACAGAAATCGAACGGCGCTAAATCTGGGCCACCCACCCACGAGTTGTAAGGCCCAAGCCCTTCTTACCCCAAGCCCCAAACCCGTCCGTTCCCGACGCCTCAAAGTCCCCCAAATCCTTTCTTTCGCTTTCGACATCCGAGCATCTCCAGGCAATCGATGACTGGTCTCAGCTGCTGAACGGGCTCGCCTCGAAGAGGGAAGAGTCCGAGAAGCAACATTGAGCCACCAGGATGCATATGAGCTCATATGGGTAGTTGTCAAAATTAGGGCCCTTTTGGGGTCCCTAATACAGTACGGCACCTCATATTTAGGGTACCCCAAAAGGGACCATAAATTTTGACAACCACCCATATATATATATATATATACACACACACATATATATATATATATAGTGAACCCCAGAAAGTTGGAACATTGATTTAGGATGATTAATGCTGGGATCCCCTATACTTGACCTTAAGGGTATGAGGGCAATGATGTTCCAATTTTCTGGCTGCTACTACAAAATATACACGAAGCCAGCAAGTTGGAACAACGTTGTCCTACTGCCCTTAACGTGCAGTATAGGGAATACCAGCACTAATCATCCTTCATTCATGTTCCAACATTCCGGGTCCGCTATTCAGTACATTCCCTCCAAGGGTTCCTTTAGAAGACTCTTTTAACAGGGTGCCAATAAGGGTGTCTGAAATGGGGAGGATGAGTCTGAGAAGCAACATAGAACCACGGCTGACGAGGGTTTATCAGGGTTTAGGGTTTAGGGTTGTGTTGCAGGAACTGAGATTTGTCGTGGTTTGGCCGGGGATTCAGGGTTGTAGGGGCTTGAAGGTTAGGCCTAATGGGGCGATTGGCTTATGCGAGTTCGGGAGTCCATCTTTAGATCAGGGCGCCTTTTTACATTCGGTGGCCCTTACTGAATGTAGCCATCGTAGCAACAATAGTAACAGTGCTCATCATCATCATACTACTACTAGTAATACTTATGATGATAACAATGGTAATAATGGCACCAATGATACTAATAGTACTAATAGTATATGACTACTAGTGACAATAACAATGCAACAGCAAGAAAAGACGAATATCAATAATACTTCCATGCAGCCTCTCGGAGGAGATAGATCTCATTCCCAGCAATCCTGATCTTGAGCTCCAACGTTTTTTGGAGAATTTTCCCGCGAACTCAGGTGGGCGGTTGTTGAAATTATTGTTCCTTTTTGGGTCCTTACCATAATACGGCACCTATTGTTTAGGGTACCCCAAAAGGGACCATCATGTTGACAACTACCCAGGTAGATTCAGCAATTTGGGCCCTTGGGTTATGCCAAGAAAGCCGAAGCTTGTGACACCTGTCCCAAAGCCCTCGACCACCTACTGGTTTGTGTGTGTGTGTGTGCGTGTGTGTAGGCTTGTGGTGGGTTGTGACCAAGGACAGCGCGCTCTCGCCGAATTCAGCACTGAGACGTGCATGGGAGGTTCCCCTCCGATTAAGAAAATGATGCGTGGCCGGTGGGAGTCAATGCCGACTGAGCTACGAGCTGCGGCTGCTTAACACCACGCTCGATTGAATGTTGATTGCACTGAACACATCTTCTGGTCCCAGGCGCAAAGACCGCCTAGTCTTCCTAGTCTTCAGGTCAATACATGCAGAACAGGAATCCGAAAAGTACCCGAGTAGCGTCGAGGCGCTCAAGCCGTATGCAGACCGTAAAGCCCTAACACGTTCATACATCTTTTCAGCTGCTTATCTCCCGAACAACCATGAACCTCAAACCGCGAAGTCATGCAGCCTCAACCTCGTAACTGCCTGAAGCCGAAATAAGCTCAAAAGCCCCAGAATTCTCAACACGAAAACAGACAAATGCTCAAGCAATAGAAACTGACACTCGAAAGCCCTATACCCTACAATCTAAACCGATACACTAAAGTCCGCAACTCATGGCGTTTCCATGGATGACCGGTAGATGTTTGCCTTCGACGAACTGGACGAGCAGGACTTGGCCTGGGCACTGTTGGAACTTGGACGTGCAATGATAATACAGGGGCCTTAACAGTCAGAACAGGGTTTCGGGACCCATTATAGTAGAAGCCAGAAAGTTGGAACATCAGACTCCTCATGCCCTTAAGGTAAAGTATAAGGGATCCTAGCACTAATCCTCCTAAAGCCATGTTCCAACTTTCTGGCTTCTACTTTATACTGATATGTTCTATAGTTATATAAGGAACCCCGAAATAGTATTGGTATTTACTTAGGCCTCTATATTGGGCGGGGGTTTCCGGGTTTTGGGGTTTGGGGTTGAGGGGTTAGGGGTTGAGGGTTTGGCGGGTTGATGGCTTAGGGTTTTCCGTGGAGTAGCGCGACAGTACGGTCGAGCGCATCCTACTAGAAAGCTATCAGTTGTCAAAGCCTGATTGTCGAAGCTTCTCCTTGTCTATCCCACCTCACGTGGCTTTCTGTTGCTTTTGGCAAGGCCCGGAATTGGAGACTTCATACAGCTTTCTCATACAGAGGCTTGTGGGGCATATTCTGCAACAGGTTTTATGGACTCCCCTTGGTGTACTTGATCGCACAACCACTTCCCATCACATGGCTTGCTGGAGTCCTACATGAATGAGGTGATGAGGTCAGTGGTACATGACCCAGAATCCCCACAGACAAAAAGCCCGAGCCGATTTTGGAGCAAGCCCAAAACTCAACCCCTAAACTTACCCTAAGGCCCGAAGGGTCCATGTACCCAAACAGTATATACTTTGGCCTTAAAGTGCTCCCTATATAGGTACATTGGGCCCAAAGTCTATACTATTTGGGTACATGGACCCTTACTTAAAGGATCATGACATGGGACTTAGTAGCTAGGGTTATAATTAGGGTAACTATACTTATAACTCCAATTAAGGCACTTCTAACCGATTCTAACCTTACTTACTAAGTCCCATGATCTTCCAAGTAAGGTTACCCGAAGTCCTATTTAGACGTCCTAAACCCTCAAAGCCCCGGTTGGAGGAGGCTGCAGCTGCACAGCGCGATGCGGAGGCCTCACCGTGGGAAGGGCCGTGAGCGGGTTTAGGGGTTGAGGGTTTAGGGGTTTAGGGTTTAGGGGTTTAGGGGTTGAGGGTTTAGGGGTTTAGGGTTTAGGGGTTTAGGGGTTGAGGGTTTAGGGGTTGAGGGTTCAGGGGTTACGGTTCAGGTTTTGAGGTTCAGGTTTTAAGGTTCAAGGTTTTCGTGAGGGTTAGACTTGAGGGTTCAAATTGCGCAGGGTCCGAGCCTACGTACAGGAACCACGTACAATGTACATTTCAGGGATGGCGCGTTCCTGACAGGTCTTGAGCAATGTAGCGGTTGATGATGGTTTGCACCGAATGGTCAGCTGATATACACTATTTGGAGAACTGTAAACATTTTGGCCGTTTTGGCCTTACGTATTTGGTTTCTAGCAGCAAGCTTTACAGTTAAAGCGTTGGTTAAGAATCTTCTGGGATCTGTTCAGGGAGGCTCAGATTCTTGAGTCTGCTTGTCTGCGACACACTCATGTTTCAGCCGCTTCGCAGCCTCGAGGGAGGCTCTGATTCTTAGCACATTCTTCGCTGAGGCTTGACTGAACCAGGGACCACAGCCACTGAAGAGCTCGATATACCACTGCTCCAAAAAGCAGTCTTCAGAACATAGGTGTCTTCTTGCAATATCATCCGATAGTGAAGTGATGGAGCTTGTGTCCGTGGCGGCCGACGAAGGTGTCGAAACCGGTCCTCCGAAGAAGGAACAGGTCTCGCTGCACCGGTACGGTCGTTGCGCCTTCACTACGACTCAAGGATCAGTTGTGCCAACGACGGGCCCACAGAGCAGCAGCAGCTCTTCGGAGAAGCCTTGGCAATGCCAGTTCTGCGGTGAGCGCTTTAGCAAGGTGCAAGGCCTCAGAGGCCATGCAAATGGGAAACACCCAGTGCTCTTGAGGGAGCTGCGAAAGCACGCGGCCAGCGGAATGCCCCTGAACTTTCCTGATGGCGATGCAGGCTTGCTTTATAACCTTACTCACTAAGTCCCATGATCATCCATTATAGAACCCTTATAGATCCCTTTATAAGGATCCCTTAAAGGAGCCCTATAGGTACCCTTCAAGGAACGACTACAAGTCTCATGACCCTCCAAGTAGTACCCTAAACCCTAACCCGTATAGATCCCTTTAAGGAACCCTATAGATCCCTTTAAGGAGCCCGTTAAGAACCCTTACTTAAGTCCCATGACCCTCTAAGTGTGCTTGCGAGGAGGATGCTTGGAGCAGGTTTGGGACTAGTTCGCAACAAATTGGGAGTTTCCGAATATAGGGGAGCCCTTAGGGTTCCTTTAAACGGTACCATAAGGGCTCCTTTAAGGGATCTATAGGGCTCAAAGGGTTTAGGGTTTGGGGGTTTCCGAAAATAGAGGACCCTAATATAGTAACCTAAATACAGTAGTAGGATCCTTATTATAAGGACCCCCAAGTAAGGTACCCCTGAATTTCGGAAGTTGCCAAATGACTGCAACAAGGGACCTTCTCCAGGTGTAGGGGATTAAGATGGTTTAAAGGGTTTAGGGTTTAGGAGGGTTTAGGGGCAATTGCCCAGAAAGGAAGCACTGTGCAGACAGCTCCATGGCGAGAGCCATTGGGGTTCCTTTACGGGTTCTATAGGGTTTAGAGTTCAGGGTAGTTATAAGTGTGGTAATAAGTCCCCCAGTATGGGTTATCATTATCCTTACCGTACACCTACAACTACCCTAAAACCCTAATCCCTCTAGGATCCTTAAAAAGAACCCCAAAGCCCTACAACCCCACTGATAACTACCCATGAACCTCCAAGCACAAGAGAGGAAACCTATAGTACCTAATCAGAACTTATGAAACCACTGTAGAACCCTATGGAGCCCAGTACACTCTTGTAGAAGCCTTTGAAGGAGCTGTGCTCTACGGCATAATTCAGTCAAAGGGTCCTAAGTTCCTACATAGCAAAGCACAGCGTTCCGAAATTAGGAGTTCCAATTGCAATTTTGGTTTGAGTAAGTTTCCCCATATCGCAAACCCTGAAGACTGAATACTAAAAACCTAAACCGCCTTAGGAATTTTGTGGTCAGGCCTCTTGCTTCATCGACTTCTCTGCCCTTGATGCTGCGGAGCGGGAGCAGCAGCCATCGGAGAAGGAAGATCTCACGGCGTGCGCACAGACAGAGGCGACACGGGACTGTCAGGAGATTCTGCTTATATACAGCGATCAGGGTTGATTCTTCTGAATGTAGGGGTTCTTCTTCTGTTTAGGGTTTAGGGTATTCCAACCCAAGACTGAGCGAGCTTTCGGCTATGACGTGCGATAGCAACATGGTCCGGCTAAAGACTTTCCGACATAAGTTCAGAACTCGCCCGAAACCCTAAATCCATCGACTGTTTGTCAATCCTGTGTCTGTGTGAACCTCGATGCAGAGTCAGGAGATTGAGAGCGCGCTTCGTTTCGGTGGTGCTAAAAGGGTTCTATGAAGGATTCCAAAAGGTCCCGCAAGTGGTTGGCAAGGGCTCTATACGGCTTCTTATGGATCTTAGGATTGAGTAGAGGCTTGGGGTTTCGTTTGCGTGTTTGGGGATTGGGGATTTCTGTGAAGTTCGGAGGTTAGCTGTTCGGAAGTCGGAGGCTCTTCCAGCAGTTTAGCCCTGGCGAGCTGAAGGTTTCAGGTATATTTGGCAATCCAGCCTGAACCCGAAATCCTAAACCGGCATACTACGTGGTTGGGTTGTGGTGAGGGTCGTCTCGGTCAAGCAACGAGTGTGGGATATGTATGTATGTATATATATATATATATATATATATATACTACTCGCGCAGGTGTCTGCAGGCCATGTGATCGCCCTTCGGAGTGAAAGCTTAGCTCATCAAAGCAACGAAAAGCTGAAACGCTAAGCGCTAAAGCATCCCGAATGGCCTTCCACCTGTGGATTGCAGATGGAAAAAGGAGCCCTCCCCCCCAACAAAAAATAACATCCCGAAGATGGAACCCTTTGAAAAAGCCTTCCGTCAAGCAATAGAATGACAGGAGCTTGAGCCCCGGGGCTTATCCCTACTGGTGCTTACGGGCGAGTGGGGGAGGGAATATCTGGACTTCAATGGGGATGATGGTTTAGAGCTTATAGGGTTTAGGATATAAGGTCTGTTATAGGGGTCCACTCTCCCACTCCAGTCATAGAACCCCCGCAGATTCAAACCTTGATGCATCCATGCGAAACCTTTGTCCGACTGTGAAGCACCCAGGGCTCCTGGCTTTTTGGCAAAGGTTGCGAAACGCTGCCTTAAACCCTCGAGAGATAGACGCTTATACAATCCCTCTAAACGAAGCTAACCAAAGCCCTTGTGAAAGTTTACAACAAACGGTTTAAAACCATGTTAAAGTCTTCTAAAGCCCTCAACTCTAAGCCCCTAAACGCCCGTCTTCGCACCTTCGCCCCTGAAACACCTAAACCCTAAACTCCAAACCCTGAACACTAAACCCTTACAGTGCCCTGGGTATCCTTACAACCCAAAGGCTCCCTGTACCTTTATAGTAGATACTTAAGCCCCAAAGTCGTCCCTATATAGGTACTTTAAAGCCAAAGTATATACTATATGGGTACATAGAGCCTTTGGGCAAGAAGCCCTTGGCCCCAAAGGTTTCGAAGCGCTGCGCCTTCGAGCGAGATAGGAGCAGCTACATACGCCAGCGGCAAGGTCCAACAGGCGGAACTTGGAAGGGGATCCCGGAATTTGGTACGTGTTGAACATGTGTACATTTGTATATACATATATATATATATATGTATGCATGTATTTATATGTGTAACCTTCACGCTTATACATTCGTACATGCATGCAGACTTCTTCTTCAACCGCAGCATAGTGAGGGGAAGTTTCGCGCTGCGAACGCGACTAACAGTCGGCGATTCAAGATGGCACATTCGAATGTCAGGCGCTCTTCGCCACTGCAAAAGATGCTGTGCAGTCCAATGTAAGTATGTATGCATGTATGCATACATGCATATATGTATGCATGTATGTACGGATGTATGCATGTATACAGATTTTGGAGATCGGGTCGCTGCAGTGTCCCGCTCTGTTGATTAACATCGTGGTTAATTATGGTCTATAGCTGGTTTTTTATGGCTGTCATGTTGGTACCCAGCTGTGGCTTCAGTGTGACGTAGATTTTGTCTTGAAGTGTGCCTGCGAGCGATGTTGAGACAGGTTTCTGCGTTCAATATTTTCTTTGCAATTTCCGGGCCATGACACTTTGTATGGCAGCCCCAGAAGCTCTTATCAGGATCCCTTCAGCTTTCGAAGCCAGGTTTCCTATGTCCTAAGTGTCATAGCCCTAACCATAAGGCTCCATGTACCCATATAGTATATACTCAGGACCGTAAAGTACCTATATAGGGACTACTTTGGGGCTTAAGTATCTACTATAAAGGTACATGGAGCCCTTGGGTAATTACTCCTAACCCCTGAGCTCTGACCCGAGAACATCCTTGAACCTTATTGTAGGAGTACTTAAAGGATCATGGGACTTAACTAGGGTTCCTTAAAGGGCTCCTTTAAAGGGGATCTATAGGGGTTCTATTCAAAAGTGGATTTATAGGGTCTACTTAAAGGATCACGGGACTTAAAAAGTAGGGTTATGATTGGCGTAACTATACTTATAATCCCAAGGTACTTACGACCTTACTTACTAAGTCCCATGATCCTCCAAGTAGAGTGTTCAGTCCTCATGTTCTGTTGTTAGCTTGATAGTGTTGTCCGCTTTATCAATATGTGTGAAGCGTCTTAGTTGTTTTCGAGTAGCCACTATCGCTGTTTCCAGCGGTGTCTGGTTCAGTTCCGAAACCGTAAACTCCCGAACCCTAAACTCGAAAACCAAGCCAAACACCCTCGCAAACCCCAGAAAACTCGAGCGAGGGCGGGAAGCCTTTTCGGTAACAAGCTGCCGAACCCTAAACTCTTATTCAACAAGAGCCTAGAACTCCGAAGGTCTGTTCTTTCGTCTCGCTTTGCCCCGCTCGGTTGCGGAGCTTTGCCACCTCGGTGCCCAGTGGCTCACCCGAGCGCTTCAGAGAGCCAGGACGCTACCAGAGGCGGCTTAGGGTTTAAGGTGTAGATGGGGTTCCACAAACTTCTGCAGTTCCGAGTTCGATCTAAAGACATCAAAAAGTGAAGCAGGAGTTCATGGAGTGTTGTCACGGGTTTGGGGTCGAGGGGGTTAGCGTCTCAGATGTTGGTTGTGCTGGTTTACATCTCGGGTTTCGGGTTCAACAGATTTTGTTACATCTTAGCGTGGAGTAGGACTCTGGATTTGTGTTCTGTCGAGCCTGTACTATGTGAGAATCCATGGCAATGGGTAAGTTAGAGGCAGAGCTAGAAGTACGTAAATTTCGGGCATAAGTAATTACTCATTGTCGTAACCAGTCCCCCAGAACTCTCATGCCCTCCACGCAAATAGGCCGAAACCCTAAACTCTGAAACCAGCTGTTCCTTGGAAATCCTTGGAAGCCAGTTCAGTTTTTGGAACATATCGAACCACCTAACACATGTCTTGTTTGGGGTCGAGGCAGCTTATAGAAAGCCTTAAGCTGTAAACCTGATTAAACCATGCCGATACTTATGCCAACCCTAAACACCAAACACGTAAACACTAAACCCTAAGCCCCTGCGTTCCTCATAAGCCTACATACAGGCTACACGATTCCTGGAAGAAGTGGAGCCCATAAGCCACACGCATAAACCTTATCCCAAGGGCTGCGCTCCATCCGATCGTAACTCGCTGAAAACTTATGACTCGTTGTAAGACATGTCAGGGGTACTGATAGACATCTACAAGCTCTGTGATGAAAGCCCAGAGAGTTGCGTGTTGTATGTAGGCTCTCCCCCAAACCCCAAGCACTAGACCTTAATAACCTTAACCCTAAACCCTAACCCCTATAATCCCTAAACCCCACAAACCTTAACCCTAAACCATATAATACCTAAACCCCACAAACCTTAACCCCAAACCCTAATCCCTATAGTCCCTAAACCCTACAAGCCCTACAATCCCCAAACCCCAAACACTAAGCCCTAAAAACCTTACCCTAAACCCTAATTCCGAATCCTAGAGGCCCTACAAGCGTTAACCCTAAACCCCAAGTCCGAATCCCTAAACCCTACTGACCTTAACCCTAATTCCGAATCCTTAAACCCTACTATATAACCCTACAAGCCTTGATCCTAAACCCCAGCCACCGCTTGCTCGCAGGGCGTCGTGGTCTCCGAGATCTTGGCGACTCGACCGGTAGCACGGGGAGGCAGAAGATCCTATTTTTTTACGGCTGCTATAGGGGCCTTCATAGTTAGAATAGGGTTCCTTTCAAGGGACCCTTTACAGGATTTCCAAAGGGATCTATAGTAGGCTTCTTTCTATATAGGGGCCTTCATAATTCGAATAGGGTTTTGGGGCCCATTCCGCTATACTTATAATAAGGACCCGCCCCAAAACAAAGCAGTATGGGTGATTGTTTAGGCCCCTCTAACTATAGGGTTTGGGGCTTAGGCCTCCATTAATGGATCCTGGTACGGGGTTCAGGGTTTAGGTTTTTGGGGTTTTGGTGTTTAGGGGTTAGGGCTCAGGTTTAGGCGTTTACGGTGGCAGGGGTGTAGGATTTAGGTTTTTCGGGGCTAAGGTTTGAGGGCTTATACGGTGTATGGGATTTGGGTTTTTAGGTGCAGGGTCCGGAGTCCCGTTTGGGCGGGTAGGGTACAGAGTTGGGCTTAGGTGAGGGAACCCAAAAAGTTTGATCGAAGCCCCGTAAGGGCTGTTATAAGGGATCCGAAACGAGTTCCTTCAAGGGTCCCTTAGGGGCTCCTTTAGGGTTTAGGGTTGAGGGGTTAGGGTTGGGTCGATCAGGAACGGAAGGTTTGCGAAGCTCCCAAAGCTGTCGGCTTTTGGGAGCAGGGATCGAGAACTGTCGCCCTGCAATGGATAGAATGGGGGCGAGGTTTCAGGATTTAGGGTTTAGGGTTTAGGGTTTTAGTTTCAGGGGGCATGTCAGGGATGAGCATGTCTCTCCATCAACTGTATCATCTACGAGAAAGGCTTATCCCAGACGTAAACCCCTGAAAGGCCACCAGTTGCCCCCATACATGACCGTGGCAACCCCTCTACCCTAAACCCTCAACCCTAAACCACTAAACACTAAACCCTAAACCCCTAAACCGTAAACCCCTAAACCCTAAACCCTCAAGCCATGAGACGTCAAAAGCTTCCTCGAGCTATTTTCGGATTTAGGACTTCAGGGGTTTGTAAGCTAGCAGTTAGAGCAGTTAGGGCTTTAGGGCTTTTAGTGCTTTAGGGTTGCAGGATTGAGGGTTTTAAGGGTGTCTAGGCTTGAGGGCGAAGGCTTCGGGTTCAGGGTCTAGGTTTAAGGGAATCTGCGAGCCCTGCTTTGCAAATCCCTTTCCTTGACAAGGGCAGCGAAATTCTTCACGCTCAGTGTCCTGGGTGTTAGCAGTTTATGCGTTATTTCGGATTTCTGTGGGATATGTACAGAGCTTTCGAGTTCTAGGTTTCGTTGAGGTCTAGGACTTGATTGTCCACATCTGCGAATCAAGGTTCACAGCATGACTTGGCTGCGGACTACAAAATCCTTTATTGAATGTTGAAGGAGTAAGCCTTAAGTCCGTTTGCGGGTTTCGTATGTGGTCCTCAACGAATGTCTTTTAGAGTTTCTTCGGGTGGGCTTTAGGGTTGTGCCTTCCCCCTGGCTTTCAACCTGGAGGTGCAAGCCAGCTGATTGACGTGGTCTTCTCGCCTCCCCGCGATCCGCCGTTTTTGGTCGTGCATTTTTTTCAGGCTCCGCAGATGCTGAAAAGTGGTTTGAGACATTTCAACCTGAAGATTTTTTCCGGAACCCTTATACGCACCCTTTCAGACGTCTGGAACTCCAGAAACCTTTACATCGAACCCTTGTAGAAACCCTTGCAGAACCCTCAGCGCTACCAGTAGAAGCATGTTGCAGCCATCTACCCCCTTACATACCCCAAGCACCCCGAACTAAGGGCCATAAGGACTCTCTTAAAGGGCCCCTGGAAGGGGGTCCTGGATAGGTTTCTTCGGCTAATTATGATTTCCTACATGACTCCTGAGGAGACCCCTTTAAAGGAATCCTTTCCTAATTCTTAAGGCCCCTAGTACCCTTACACTCTAGCTTATAGTTGCCCTTCTAGACCCCTGTAACGGAACCCTGTTCTAATTCTTAAGGCCCCAATATTGTTGAACCCTAATATAGATCCCTTTTAGAACCCTTTGAAGGACCCCTTTAAAGGAAGCCTATTCTAAGGCCCCAATATTAGGTTTCTTCGGCTTTAAACCCCAAATTGAAACCTAAAACCCTAAACCCTAAAACCTTAACCCTAAACCCTAAAACCTTAACCAGAAACCCTAAACCCTAAAACCTTAACCCTAAACTCTAAACCCCAAACCCCAACCGTTTCTTCGGCTTTTCGGGGCTTCTCGAGCCTTCTGAACCTTGGCGAGGACGGTTCCTCCCAAGCCAAGAGCCTGGAAGGACGGGCTTTGGGTGGAAGCAGTTTCGGTGGTTCATTTTAAGGGTTCCTATAAGGGATCTATAGGGTTTAGGGGTCTAGGGTTTTGGGTTTTGGGTTGAAGGCGTAGGGGAAAACTGAATGAAGAGGAACTTAAATAATTTCCTACACCATTTTAGTAGTTCCTGGTTATAGTTACGGTATGATATACTAATTACCTACATTATTTTGGTGGTTTCCTGGTTACAGTTATAGTATTGTATTCACCCCCAAACCTTATTCTAGTTATGCAATGAAGGCCCCTACATGACTGATATCTTCCGGTCGGCCCTGGTTCTGCCGTTTGTAAATGAGGGCCTCTACTGGATTCTCCAGGGCTTGGTGAGATTCGCAGAAGGTAACGGTTTAGGCTCATATGACGATTCTGTTGTCGCTGTAAGTTGTACTACATGTCGTATATAAGAACCAGACTATGATATGACGGATAAACGACGGTTTATGGGTTTGCCACGCGAGGAATTCTACGATCCAAGCTTTGCGTGCTGGTCCCAGCATGTTTTCAGGGTATAGGGTTTGGGTTAGGGGCTTAGGGTTCAGGGTTAGGTTACAGGGACTACGGCTTCAGAGTTTAAGGGCCTGGAGTTCCGGGTTTACGGTTTTGATGTCGCGGGTTTAGGGTCTAGCTTCAGGTACTTGAGCAGTGTGATTATGGCTGTATTATGACTTTGAGATTTCGTGGGAAGGGGGGGTCGTTTTCGAGCATTGGAAGGTTGGGCGTTGACGGGTTTCTCGGGCAAACGCTGGACCCCAAGAGGGCTTTGAGCTCAGTTTTGCGATACGGCTTCTTACATTGAACACCCACTGGCTGTCTCTCAGGATGACCCCAAGTACTGTGAATATCCAAACTTATGGCAAGAATCTTTTTTTCGAAACGCCGAAGTCCCCAAAATACCAAAGTCTGAAGCTCCTGAGATTCCTATGCTGGATACTATGGGCCTCCTGAACCACCTTAACCCCAAATTCCTAAGCCCTATAGGACCTAAACCCCTGAACCGTCCTAACCCTCCCCTCGCCCCTCCTACCCTCCCGCCCTTGGCACAGAGAGCCCAATACCCCTGAGTGTCCCGCAAATTACAGGGAGCTTAATGTGATGACTTAAGGTACATTCCTTAATCAACGAGTATACCTAAAAGTGTAGGGGGTGGCTTAAGATTATGGCTTAAGCTTTATTCCATAAAAGAACCCCATTATAATGGGTAACCGTGAAGGAACCCTCTCTGTAATTTCAGGTATACTCCTAAATCAAAGGGTGTGGGGGCTCTCCGGGCGATCGGTCCCCAGAGCCTCCAAAACCCCTTAGTTAAGGAATATACCTTAAATTATAATAGGATTTCGAATATGATTTTAAGGTATATCCCTGAATAAAGGGGTTTTGGAGGCTCTGGGTCGCCTCCGACCCTAAACCCTAAACCCTAAACCCAAACCGAAAACCCTAAACCCGGTCGCGCTGAGGACAATAGCTTCGTGAGTGGGATCAACTTCCTGCGACTGCTGGAGTCGGAGCTGGACGTTTCCCGACCTCCGCTTTTTATAGTATCCTTAAGGGAGGGGTATATAGCCTAGTGATCCCTAACTCTCCCTAGTACTCCCTAAGGTTCCCCTAAGGATTCCTTGTACCCTCCCCCCTTGAACCACCCTCCCTTGAGGATCCTATAAGCTTGGGGGAACCCAGAGAGGTCAATACCACTTAATTAAGGAATACTTAGGGTTCCTTAAAGGGATCTATAAGAGATCTACAGGGTTTAGGGTTTAGGGGACTCATCTACCCCTTAATGAAGGAATATAGCTTACATCATAATATGAAGCCCCTTGTAATTTACGGTATATTTCTTAATTAAGGGATATTGGGCTCTCTGGGAATGAAGGAACAAGGCAATAAGGGTTTAGGGTTGTGTAATTTGGGGTATAAGGGATTAAACGTTTAGGTTTAGGGTTCAGAGCCTGCCAAATCTTATGCCTTAGACCGCCAATACCTAACCTTTAACTTTTTGGGTTCTTATAGTCTAGTAGGAATCGGAAAGTTTAACCTTTATTTCTGTGGCTTGCTGGGGTAGTAAGACGCTGATGTCTCCCGGAGTGTAAGATGGCCGCCTCAACGTTTTTGAGCATGGGGGCTTCACCAAGTTGAGCAATTACTCTTAATTACCCATTGGCTCCATAGTGGTTCCTTGTTGGGATTACCTTACAGGATTCTATCTATGAACTATAAACAGGACACACTATGGAGTAGTTCCTTTATAGTTCGGCATAATCTTACGCTACACTGTAAAATGCCGGACAGCCTCTTCTGACCACTAAGGCGCCTCTATTACTTGTAGGTTCTCCGGCCGCACACTTATTCCGCTTTTGTTTTGGGGGTCTCCTGTCAGAACGGATACCAGGAAACTGCTTGAATGCTTCCCCCTTGTTGTATTGATGAGGATACTCAGGGCCTCTGTAGATTGGAGAGTCACTCAAACTGTCGTTCCCCTGTTGGGTTATACAATCGGGCGTCAAGTAGTCAACACTGCAAGACTCTACATACCTGTCCTCCAATCCTACTGGTCCTGCTTTTGCGTCCGTTGCTGCTAAACCATATCGTAAACTCGAAACAGCAAAACTCCCAAACCCTAAACCTATACCCCTAAACTCCTAAAGCCCAAAATCTAAACCGTAAACTTCAAAAGCCACACCTTACAGCCTTAAGCTGAAGATCCGAAGCAAGGTTCCGCCGCGCTTCTTCTTTGGGGATGTCTGCGACGGTGGAGGCTCAGGCAAAGCAGCGGATGATGTAGCCTAGTAGTAGAGTAGGTCACTTTCAAAGGGCTTTTTGAGAGGCAGTTAGGTGTCGAGTGCGCACTAACATGAGTGGTTGTCAAAATTACGGTCCTTTTTTGGATCCTTATTACAATACGGCGCCGAATATTTAAGATACCCCAAAATGGGGCCATAATTTTGACAACTATTCACATGTAAACCCAAAAGGCCATCACACAAACAGAACAGGTCCTCCTGGAGTCTCAGCAAAATTTCATAAACCCCTACCTTTTCAGGTGTCTCAATGATGATTCCTCTCACAGGCTACTAGAGATGCAGTTCGTTGGCTGGGTTCAGGTATATCCGTAGGTTTCTTATGCAACAAGACTCGATGCCAATCATTAACACTCAACCCTCAACAACCTAGACTGAGACATTCTAAAGCTTAACAGAAACCTACCAGTCCAGTCCTACTGCACCCTAAACCCCACGCTTTACACCCTCGAAAAGCCTAGAAGGCCTAAGTACCCAGATGCGGGATACTTGAAGGGAACCCTTATAGTATATACCCCATGAAGGAACCCTCGGAAACCCTAAACCCTAAACCCTAAACCCCCAAACCCCAAACCCTAAACCCTAAACCCCCAAACCCCAAACCCTAAACCCTAAACCCCCAAACCCCCAAACCCTAAACCCTAAACCCCCAAACCCCAAACACTAAACCCTTGAAGGCCTGCTGATCACGGAGTGGTCGCGCGTGCCATCGGCTTCTACGAGCTTCTGCCCGGAGCCCTCCTGGACTCCTCAGCGGCCCGGCATGTTGGGAGTCGGATTACCTAGGGCTCCTTTTAAAGGGATCCTTAAAGGGATCCTTAAAGGGGTCTATAAGGGATCTATAGTAGGGTTCGATAATATAGGGGCCTCAATAATTACCAATACCATTTTTTGCTTGGGGGGTGGGGGGGTTCCTTGTATAGTATGACTATATGTAGTACAGCTGTGCTCCAAAACCATGTTGAGGGATGTACATTAATCATGTCCAACCTTCTTCCGTAGAGTTCCTTCATAGGAGCGAAGTATGGTACATCCCCCAAAACTTTTTCTGATGGTGTTCTGGGTTTGCCATGAGGATTGCTGTAGTGGCCTCAGTAGTTAGAACAGGGTTCCTTTTCAAGCGTTACTCGAAAGGTTGCTATAATGGCCCGTTTTGCGGCTACGACGAGGATTACTAAGCAGGGTTTGGGTTTAGGGTTGTTAGTACAGTACAGTTGCTTCAAGACTTTTATATACGGCTCCTTTAGATAAAGGCTCTTGCTACAGGTTTCCTTGTACAGGGTTGCTCTAAGGGCGAGTATGGGTATCGCGGTAAAGACTGTCAAGGAGGGTTTAGGGTTGAAGGTTTGTGGTGTAGGGCCTTAATAACTAGAACAGGGTTCCTTGATGCAAGGGTTCCTTTTCAAGGGTTACTTTAAGTGTTTTTGCCGGCACCCTCAGACTTAAACCCTAAAAGTTGGTGCCAGCGGCTGATGACAACAATGCCAACGCATGGGTCGGACCGAGAAGCAATCATACCTAAACCCTAAACTCTATAAAACCCTAGCCTGAAACCCTAAACCCTAAACGCTGGCCTGATGGCCTTGACGCAAGCCCATTACCTGGCAGGCATCAAAAAGGAGTTCAAAAAAAAAACGCTGAACCCTATAAAACCCTGAACCCTGAACCCTAAACCCCTAAACCTTAAGCCCTATTAAACCCTAAGCCCTAAAACCCTAAACTCTCGCCTCAAAGGCGTAAGCGAATCTCCAAGCCCAGGCCGCAGCAGCAGTGCTACATGATGCCAGATTCTCGTGCGACCCTATGCCTTTCAGGCCAGCTTTCGTGTTTTTACCTAGGTAGGCCCTTGGGACATTTTATATTTTCCCTTATTGGGGTTAAGAGGATCTTGTTTACGAATATTTTTCAGAGGCTTTCAGGGGCCAACCTAGTTACTTTTTTTAAGGACTTCGGATTTAGGGTTTAGAGTTCCGTTTTTCTTTTTAAGTGCTTGGGGTTAAGGGTTTGGGGTGTAGGGTGTTTGGGGTTGGGGGTTTAGGGGTTGTTTTCAAAGGGAGTGGTCTATAAAGTTGGGATTGTTTGTTGAGTATCCAGGGGTCTAGGGCTTTGGGCTTAGAAGGCTCTAGGGTTCATTTTAGGTTTCTGATAACGTGGTTCGGTGTTAGGGATTTCGTGCGTAGTTGTTTGTGTCTTTGAAGGGTGTCTGGGGTTTCCAATTCGGTTTGCATTTTGGCTCGTTTTACCCACCGAAATTCTAAGCTTTACAGTACAGTAGAAGCCAGAAAGTTGGAACACCTTAAGCCCCAAACCCTAAGCCCATGATTTGTCCCTTTCCCAGGACCGTAAAACCTGGCAGGCGAAAAGGGCATCAAACTTGTAACCCCAGGCATTCAGCGGGTTGAGGGTGTAAGGTGCGATCAAAACCATGCAGCCCTCTGAAGCCTTCTACTACAGTACAATAAGACTGATACTACGTACGGTATAGCAATAATATACTTTCATATCGTATCAATACTTTAATAAAGTAACAAGACTTCCTTATAGTATTATTATTACGGTATAGTAATAGGAACCCTAAACCCTACCTAGAGTCTCCATTGTAGTTCCTTTCTTGGAAAACCAGTTTTATGGCTAGGATCCTAGAATAGAGATTGTGGTTAACCCCAAAAAAGGAGAGTTACAATGGAGACTCTAGGCAGACCCAAAACCCGAGCCTCTTTCTCAGATATGACATCGTATCAAAACCTTAATAAAGTAACAAGACTCTATTATCGTACAAATACTACAATATAGTACTGGGAACCCTAAACCCCAGACCTTAAACCTCTTTCTCAGATATGACTGGCTTCTAAACCCCTATCGATCCCTTTTAGAACCCTTTAAAAGGATCCCTTTAAGGAACCCTAACCCCGAGCCTCTTTCTCAGATATGACTGGCTTCGCTTCGCCCTTTGCCTCCATGCCGGCTCTGCCGGGGGCGGCGTCCGTGGGCCTCGAGACGATTCAGACCTGGCAGGCAGAGCCCTTTCTTCTATAGCCTCCTCAGGAATGATTTTTTAATTTGTAAAACTTTTAAAATTTTTAGATATTGTAGTTTCGTTCATGTAAAACCCAAGAGAATATTAAAACTATTCTTTTTTATTATGGTTCTAAGGAGGGTATAGTCTTTTGTGTTGCCTATACTTAGAGGTTCATGGGTGTTTTTTATAAGTCGAGTAACCATAATTCTAACCCAAGTGAGCCTCCAGGAGGGGGCGGTTAAGGACGTGGGAGTTCTGGTTTTGGTGGAAGGTACATTGGGTTTAAGGTTTGAGGGTGGGAAGCAGATTTCACAGCCTCGAGACTTTAGCCACCACCATTTTTTGAATGTCAGGGATGCGAGCTGTAGAATGTGGGGGCTCCCGCAACTGAGGCTCAATGGAGCAAGCTTAGGTTGCCAACGGAGCGCAAGAACACCAACACTCTGAATTAAGTACCGGGTGTCAACTATGTTACGACTAAGGTTCACAGTCTGTTGAAGCTCCGATTGCAGTGCCGCCGGCTGCGAAGGATCATCACAGGTCCTGGACACTGATCAGCTGCAGCGTCGCGTCAAACGAAAGGCTCCTCGAATCCGAAGTGCACACTGACAAAGGGGTGCAAAGGCCAAGCTGAGACATAGCGATATAGTTGTAGCTAAATCATACTGTAGCTAAATCGTATATATATAACTATAGCTATAAATTTGAACACTTGTTTCACAGTAGTTGTGCGAAGCAGTGGAAGCAGAAACAGGGCGAGTAGTAGCAGACGTATAGGAGTAGGTAGACCCGGTAGTCGGCATCCTCACAGCAGCAGCCGAGTAGTTACAAAAATCATCCCTCGGCTCGGTCGAACTTCTTGGAATAAACTTACAGGGTTGGAGGTCCAGGCTTAAGCGTACGGCGTCCAGGATGTAGGGTTCAAGGTTTAGGCTTCATAGGGTTTAGGGAATACAGATGTAAAGGGGAAGCCGGGATATTTCGTTCACGCATGTTCAGTCACTTGCTACGGTTCACGATGTTGGAGTCTGCCAAGTCCTGGATGGTCTTTCCGATGCCTGAGTTCGACCTTGCCGTTTCCTACAAATCTGTGTGTTCGTGCTCTGTGTTCTTGTGTGTATTTGTTCTTCTTCCGTCCGCCTGATTGGCTAACCGTGAAAGATTTTGAGTTCAGCACCCAGCCAAGTATGCACACCTCCGAACACGAAAGACGTGCATACATGCATGCATGCAGGCATACATACATGAACGTACTGACGTTGATACATACATAAGTGTGTGTATACAAATATGTGTATGTTTTTATACACACATAATAGGTGTGTGTATATATATATATGTATATAACTACATATATATATACATATATATATATATATATATATATACACGTAAATACACCTTTCTAATCATCTAATAAGCGACACCGATGAGAGGCTCTGGCGAATTCGCAGCTCCAGAGGGGCCTTGCTGGTTGCACAGCAAACCGGCTGTGTTTACATGTGTACCAAGGGGCCTAAATAATCACCACCCTAAACCCTAAACCGAACAGAATATTATGGTTAGGGCTCCTTATTATAATGTTTATATGTGTATTAAAGGGGCCATAGTAGTTCCTTCTTGGGATTACCTTATAGGATTCTAAATATGAAGTTCCTTCTTGGGGTTTATATTTAGAGTCATAGTACTAAAGGGGCCTAAATAATTACCTAAGGGTTCCTTTAAGGGTTGGTTTTCAAGGGGTCCAGAAGGGATACTATTAGGAGTATTATAGGGGTTTAGAGTGGGGGCTTAAATCATTACCAATATTATGGTTAGGTACCCGCAGGCTCCAAAGTAGTTCCTTCTTGGGGTTTTCGGGTTTAGGGTTAGGATACCCATAGGCTCCGTAGTAGTTCCTTCTTGGGGCTTATATGTAGAACGCTAGAAGGTAATCCCAAAAAGGAACTACTATGGAGCCCATGGGTAGGGCAGTGTTTGCCTTCATGGCGTCGCCGGGCTGTTTGCTCCAAAAAAACCAGCCTCCGAACAAAGGTCCTTAAACCCCAACCTAAAGGATCATGGGACTTAGTAACTAGGGTTATAATTAGGGTAACTGTACTTATAACCTCAATTAATAAGGCACTTATAACCTTGCCTACTAGGTCCCATGATCCTCCATTATAGAACCCTTATAGCTCCCTTAAGGGATCCCTTAAAGGAGCCCTATAGGTACCCTTACAGGAACGCCGAGACTTCGATCGTTTGCTCTTTGCAGGGCGAGAGAGGCCTAAAAGAGCCGTTGCACTACAAAAAAAAAACCTAAACCGTAAGAATATACGCTCCAGAACTTGCTTAAATTACCACTCCTAGTTTGGGGTTTCCTTACTGTAAGTATAGTAGAATGTACACCCAGTATCCCGACTAGTAACCCTAAAGTAGAAGCCCGCAAAGCTGGATTGTCAGTATCCTCATGTCCTGAAGGCAAAGCATAGGGAAACTCAGCACTACTCATCTTAAGCTCATATTCCAACTTTCTATAGTTCACTATATATAGCCCCCAAGACGACTAAAACCCTAACCCTTTGAACCCTAAACCCTTAAACCCATTTAAGCCCCGAAACCCTAAACCGTGTAAAACCCCCGGGACTCTTACCGTAACCCTGAAAGCAACCGTTATCAACCCCGATAGAAACCCTACTAGAACCCTATACACCCCGCAAACGACTGAGGAGCTGTTCCCTTATAGTACCCCTAAGCCACCCCAAACCCCTTGCCACTAAACCCTAAACCCCTTTATAACCCCTAAACTGCAAAACCCTTAACCCTTAAACCCCTAAACCCTTAGCCTCTGGGACTCAGTTCTTGGGATGTTGAGGGTTTTAGGGGCTATATAGGTGTAGTAGTAGTAGTAGTAGTAGTAGTAGTAGCAGCAGCAGCAGTAGTAGTAGTAGTAAAGCGACTGAGGAGTTGTTCATCTCTGGCTTTGTCTCCGCCTGCAAAGCCGCCTTCTGAACGTGCGGAGCTCTGGACGCTGATGCCAGGCTGGGCTTAGGGTTCCTTTAAGGGGGGTAGTATAGGGTTCCTTTTAAAGGGGGGTACTTTTGGGATCCTTTAACGGGGTACTTTTGGGTTCCTTTAAGGGGGTTTAGGGTTCCTCTACGGGTTCTGCACGGAATATTTCAGGGTACTGTAGGTTTCAGGTTTCCCTTAAGAGCTCCGTTAAGGAACCTAGAAGGGTACTAAAGGGTTTTGGTTCAGAGTTTCATGGCTGACAGGCTAAAGCCTGTTTTGTTTTTTTTAGGGTGCGGAGCTTTGAGGCTTGAGGGTTGCGGACCGAGTGGAGGGCTTCTTGAGGATTTGGGAACCAAAACCCTTTAGTACCCTTCTAGGTTCCTTAACGGAGCTCTTGAAGGAAACCTGAGCCCTATAGTACCCTGAAATATTCCTTAGAAGAACCCTTAGAGGATTTTCAGCTTCCGGGTCTGAGGTTTTCGCGCTTTCGGGTTTTGCGCCACGGGTTCCGGATTTTCTGGTGGGTGTACCCAGGGGCTCCGGAGGAATTCCTTTTCGGGATTAACTTTCAAGGTTCTGAATATGAAGCTCACAAGGAACTACTATGGAGCTTATGGGTATGCTTTAGATGTATCCGCGCTGCCCCAAATATGCAGATTACATTCAGACGACCTCTGGGCATGGTATTGTAGTTTCTCCTAGCCACTGAAACCTACTCCGCGTTTCGAGTCTTCCTAGATCCCGATTAGGTATTCTCGTTGTCGCTTTTGTTTCTGTCGTTGTGCTTGTGGTTGCTCTATCTAAGTCGTTGGATTCGTGCATGTACTGTTTTCTTTTTGCCCTAAGTTGCTGTCATTATGGCTGTGATGATTGCCACCGTTACTACGAAGATTATTTGTTGTTATTGCTATTGTTGCAAATGAGGCTGCTGTTCTTGCTGCTGATGGTTGCAGTTGTTTTCGTGCTGGTCGTCTTACCCTGGGAACCCTTGCTTGCATGTAGGATACATGGGAGTAGGCATCAGCTGCGAGACAGAGAGTGCCTGGTGGTTTTTGTTTCATTAAACCCTGAACCGTGTGGCAAGGTACGTCTCCTGAGAGCTACTATATACGCAGCTTCTATGAACCTCGGCTGTCAGAGACCTCGAGCGCTTCCCAATGTGACCAGGTGTTGTTGGAGGTTTTGCGTCCTGTGGGTTGTATCTGGGGATCCCGTGCTGCGATCAAGGGGTCGTCATGTACTAATTTGTAGGGTTTGCGGTTACAGGCATTATTGAGCGGTCTGCGCTCTTCGTAACATTTGCGACATACTCAGCAAACTTTGAACCTAGCTTGTCCGTGGGGGGAGGTGGAGAACTAGCCTGTGCAAGAAGTCCTTTTGGATGTTCTCTGTGCTGTTGTCCTATCATCCCATGGGTGGTTGTCAAAATTAGGGTCCCTTCTTTGGTCCCTATATGTTTATATATATATATATATATATATATATATATATATATATGTATATATACATATACATATACATACATATATATATATATACACATATGTATATATCTGTTTATGATATGGCATATGCATATATATATATATATATATATATATGTATATGTTGTGTGTGTATGTATGTATATATATATATATATATGTATGTATATATGTATATATATACATATATATAATATATAATATATATAATATATATGTATATATATATATATATATTAGATATATATTAGATATATATATATATATACACATTTACATATATATATATATATATATATATGTATATATATATATAGACGACGACGACGAAGACGATGTCAGCGCAGGCTCCAGCGCAAGAACAGCGGTAGGGCTTAGAGGCTTAGGTTGTCCTGATTGCATTCTGCACAGAGCATTAAGCCGAAGGCTTCTACGCGACCAAGGAGCACTTGATGCCCTGGAACCACGAAGATCCCATCGACCTTTGAACTAGCTGGATATACCCCAGTAGCTTTGAACCATTTGTCCTTGATTCCTTGAAGGCATATAGCCCTCTGCCCTGCAAGGGGCATGAGTAAGAGAAGAGTTCTCAGCCCTAGGGGTTCAAGGTTTAAGGTCTGGGAGGTTTGTCTGGGAAGGGTTTCGGTTGAAGGTACTAGCTTGGATAACAAGCCCTAAACCCCCAAACCCTTTCTGCACCTTTCTGGGGACAGTGCTGCTCGGCAGTAGCGGCAGAACGGCACTTGATGGCCAGGGCCTAAATGAAAGGAACGGAAGCCCACGATCGACAGTTCTGGATGCAAGCACCTTCCTCAAGTGCAGAAGCGAAGTGCCCCTCCAGTAGATCGAACTCCTCTTGCGACCAAGGTATATAAACCGAGGGTAGCTTCACCAACAGCGTAGCCGAGAACGGCCGAACCTCAGCTGCCTGCAAGAAACCACCCACTTGAGCAATCAACGCCCGCACCTGTTGGCGAAAAAGCCGCACTCGCTCAGGTAAGTCCAAAAGCCCCACCGAAAAGTCACCTCGTCGGGATGTCTTCCATGTCCTGGTGGTCTTATCAAAGACCGGCGGCACAATACCAACCTGATGCTCAAACAAGAGGTACAAATGCAGGAAAGGGATCCATCGACCAGGGCAGTCACGTCTGATCTTAGAGCCCAACCATGCATGAAGGGCAAGCCCAAAAGGTGCTCCATATCGCTCAAGGGCACGTGGAAGCGGTAGACGAAGGTCAGGAAGAGCCGGAACCCGAGCTGGAGCCTCCTCGACCGCATTGTCAGCCTTCGCCTCCGGCTGTGTGGCAACCCGTGCGATAGCTCGCAAGCGATGCAACACAGCACGGCCGCGCAGGGTCTGTAGCGCCTGATCTCTGCACACCTCGCGCCAAAGCAACCAGAAACTAGGCGGACGATCCATGTTGGTCCGCATGGCTTCCCGGTCAGCCGCTTGATTGTTCCAGCAGGCCCAGTCGTCCACCATCGATGCCCGATCCGTTGTCGCGACATGAGCAGCCACCTTATGGACCGTCCATCCTGGCGGGACCCGCCGTGCCAACTCCTGCAGAGCATTCCACAAGTCAAAGTTCGCCTTCGACGGGGTGCACCGAAAGGTACCCTTCTGGATTCGTAGCACACAGCGGACAACCCCTGCACAGTCCGACCAAATTCGCGCCGGCCTCTGCCACTGCAGCATGCACTGGAATGCCGCAATGACCGCCGTGATTTCAGCCCGGAAGGCCGTCTGCACCACACCAGGTAAGGCCGCACCCGCCGCAGTGATAGGCTCCGTGCCAGGACTGCAGCTATGATCACCGCCCACGAGGCAAGCCGAAGATTGGGCTCAGCAGGGTGCTTGCAGGAGCCGTCCGTAAAGAGATCAAGTTCCACGGCCGCCGGGGCCTCACAAAGGACAGTAGCCGAGCGATCAGGCAAAGCCGCCAGTTGCCTCCAGAGCTGCAGCACTCCCCGCGGCCGCATGGCCCATCCCCGGAGCGACTGGGCCGGTGCCAACGTAGCCACATCCACATCTGGAAAGGAAGCAGGGCCGCAACCCGGTGCTTGACTCCATCGGCCTGGCCACAGAAACGGCAGGAACGATCGTCATCAGGATTGTCAGAGAAATGGTGCAGAGCATCCTGCGTGTAGAAAGCACCACTGAGGCCAAGTGCAATGTTGAGCCTGTCTTCCACAGCAAAGTTCTTCTGCAGTCGGCGCGTCTCACCAGGGTCGGCTTGGCTCAGGCCCTGGAACCCGTCTCTTTTTTCCAGTTCAACTCCAATTGCACGCTGCCAGGCAAAGGTAAGGCGGAAAAGGAGCTCCTGCGGAGAGACGGCCCATGGGTCAAAACATGAAATGCTATCCTCAATCATCTCAGCTTGGATATCCCAGCGCCAGCCCAGGAGCGCCACACGCTCCAAGAACACCCCGGCAGGCCCAGGTGTTCGCGACCCTTCTTTGGACAATAGGGACGCCAACAGCGGTACAAAGGAATCCCGCGCAGCATGTACACGCAAATCACGAAAGGTGCTCCAGATCGCAAAGAAATGCGGGTCAGCAAGTGGAAACTCCACCATGCCCAGGTAGATCATCGGATTGAGGCCTGGACGATCCAACCGCAGGCCTTGCACGGCAGCAGATCGAAGGGAAGCGAAGCGGGCAAGGCTAAGGCACACCCCGGAAATCCCATGGAGAGCAGCAGGCCACACCGCGACCTTGAGCGCCATAACCTTCTGGTTGCGAGGCGCCCAAGAGGCCGCAAGTCGCGGCCACAGTCCCTCCAGGCCCTCAATCCGAGTTTGCACAGTAGCATTGGTACATCGGCGGTTGAAGCTTACATGCCCCCCAACGTTGCGAACAGAGTTCTCAACTGGTAGACCCACGGACAAACTCAGTGACCATCGCAACAGCCGCAGGCGAGCGCCTGCCAATCGTCAACAAAGGAAGTGAGGCAGTGCTGAAGATCCGCTCGCGCAACATGCCAGTTGTTGAGATCATGGGCTTCCTCAAGAGCAAGCTGCAAGTCATACCACACACCAGTCGCTGACTTGCCTGGCATGCCACCTGTAAGCTCCGCTGGCGCCAACTCCGAGAGGAACTTAAGAGCGGTGCGAGCCCGGAGTGAACTCCAAGTCCTGTACGGAAGTGGGAGCACACAAATCGGCCGGAACTGAGAGACCTGTTCAGCCTCAGGCACCTTCTCAACACTGGCCACGGTGGCGTTCAGCATCTGTTGAGGCCATCGGCCCGTCTCCTCAGCACGGGCCACAATGCCCAGGAGCCTGTCAACAAACGGAGGAGTTAAGGCCAGCAAGTCAAGCTTTGACACACCATCCGGCCCGGTAGCTGACCTGCAGTGCTTTGCCCTGACAGCACGCATCCATTCTTCCGCAGAGAGAGGACGCCAGGGGTATGAACGCAAGGCCGGTAGCGCCACTCCTTCAGCGAGAGCCCGCCAGGTAGCGGGGTCAACGTTTTCATGCCGGAGCCAGCGCTTCTGCCACTCATCAGCGAACGCTTGGAACACTTCATGGAGGGACGCCAAGGGGCGTTCCTGGCTGACCACATCACCAGCCTGCACGCCCTCAGTTGAAGCCCAGACGACATCGGGTTCAGCATGGAACACTTCCAACGGTCGCCCATTGAGGAAGAAATCCTGCTCACTCCTCCAACTAGTCTCAGACTTGAGCTTCAGATGCGAGTCTTCGTGACAGACCTCCGACACAACAGCCACCGTTTTGAGGACCAGGGTATCAACCGGTTGAGCCTGCTCCATTTTAAGATCCTGAAAGATCACAGATGGGTTGGAAGCACGTCGGGCAGCAGCTGCTTGCCTCCTGTCACGCTGGAGGTCACGTTCAAACTGTGCAACATTTCTCTGGAAGGAATCGAGGAGGGCTTGCGCCAAGTCCAAGGCTGGGAGAGTGGCTGGGCAGGTGTCAGGATCAGACGGTTGCCTGATTTTCCGTAGTGGCCACCAAGCACGAAATCCACGACGAAAGCCCGTAGCAGAAATGATGGAATGCCAAAGGCCTGCTCTGTACTCAACCGCCCCATCAGTAGGCAAGTGTTTCCGAAGAGCATGCACAAGGGACTGGAGTCGCCGCAGCTGGCGAAACCAAGCAGCATATGTGCGATCATGCCCAAAGTAACCGGGTGAACACTCTCCATTGCGACCAGCATGGACAGGGCACTGCCGAGTTTTCACAGGGACAGCGGTTTTGGTGGCAGCTCGCCCACAGGCACGGTTCAGGGAATGCGACTCTTTGGCTTTTACACACCCGGATGGCCTGCCGTTCCCAGTCATGCCAGAGGGCCTGGTAATCCTCATCTGGCTGCCCAGTTAAGGGTTGCAGAGCCGCCGCATCATTCATTTGGGGCCCCTCGGGCCAAGCGAAGGGTCGGGGCATCCGCCACACAGGCTTTGGCACCGAGCAGGTTCGGGACCTAAAGGAAGCAAGGAGCAGGGAGTGATCAGCGAACCAGGTGTCGTCAACCTGAACATCCAGCAGGAGCTCCTGGAGTTCCGGAGAAATCAGCAAAAAATCCTTGCGCGTCTTGCGCTTGCACGTGGGCACCGGCAAAACTCCATGCCTGGCATGCCACAGGTCTTGGATTTCAACAAAGCCATGCCGTCGCCAAAGCGGCATCAAAGTCAAGGCATGGGGCTCAATATTGAAGTCGCCAGCGATGAATCTCGGGCCCACCCCATTACTGAGAATCCGTTCGGTAACGGCATGAAGCAACTGCTCGGTAGCACTTGGCTGCACAGGGAAACCGTAGACCACAGCACCCAACATCCACTCAGCTCCGACAAAGAAATTGGCCAGGTGAATGCGTGATGTGGCAATGTACTCCGGGTCAATGGCATGCGGGGCAGCACGGGCCGGGAAGGAGGAGAGGAAGCCAACACCCGAATATTGACCAGTGACAGAGCTGCGGGCGCGTGGGAGCACAGGTGGCCCAGACACAAATCTGAGATCACTCTTTGCCATTCTTAAGCCAGCACGAAAGAGCCCTAGGCCCCGCCTTGTAAGGTGTGCCTCAGATACACTGTAAATCCCCGGCAGCAGGTCAGCAACGACCCCATGCTTGCCATTGAGCCCTGTGGGATTGCAGGCACCAATTCGAAAGACTGGCAAGTCCGGAGAATGAGGCGGTCCAGGATTACGGGCTTCACCAACGCGAACACAGGGGCAAGACCAAAGTGCAAGTTTGCCTGCGTCCAGAGGAGGCCTCGGACCACACGGTACCACAACATAAGGCAGATTGTCAAGGTCTCGGCACATAAGGAAGGCGACGTGGCCGCAACTCCGGCCCCAAAGTGACCGCCCCAGTAGCGGGAACCTTACCGGGGCAGCGGGAAGACGAGCCGAAGGATGGCCAAGTGCAACCAAAGGAGGGTGCTCACGCCGTTGAGAATCGTTTTGATGACAATTCGGCATCCCACATAAGCGTTGATGGTTTTGATGGCGATTTGGCGCCCGAGGTGACCGCCCCAGTAGCTGGAACCTTACCGGGGCGACGGGAACACGAGCCGAAGGAGGGCAAAGTGCAACCAAAGGAGTGTTCTTTGCAAGCCATTGAGAACCGTTTTGATGGCAATTCGGCGCCCCAGGTGACCGCCCCAGTAGCTGAAACCTTACCGGGGCGACGGGAAAAGGGGCCCAAGTAGGGTTCGCTGGAAGCTCAACAACTTGTCAACAACGCGTTGAGATTGGTTTTGATGGCAATTGGACGCCAAAGCTGACAGCCCCAGTAGCTGGGACCTTACCGGGGCGACGGGAGAAGGGGCCCAAGTAGGGCAAAGTGCACTGGAAGGACGCCAATTGAACACGCAAGAAGGGCAAGGCCACCTGCAAGCATGCCAACTCGGTGCGCAAAGAGGGGAAAGTGAAGCAACCCAGGGCCAGAAGCAGGAGGCAGCATCAAAAGCGAGGCCCATCTGGGGCGGCGCAGACAAGGTTCCAAGCTGGACCAGGACAGGCGGTTTGCTCAGCTCACGAAGGGCGAAAGACTCAGAGTGTCCGAGCAGCAGCAAAAGGAGGAAAGACCAGATTCGAGATAATGGCTTGTACCATTGGCCAGGTGCAGGCGCGACTTTGGGCCCACCCAGAATCGCACCCTTGCAGACAACTAACGCCTTGGTCAGAGCTGCCCAAACTAACAGAACGGAAGCAGTGAGCACTTGCAGGCCCACAAGGGCATTGAATGCAACGTGTGTGCAGGATGCCCAGAAAGACAAAATCCACAGTAGCGACAACGATTTGCTCAGACTATCAGCCACTGCACGAGGCAAAAACCGTGAATGCTCAGCCAGATCACATTCAACAGCACCCCAAAGGTCATGGCCGGTCCCATGTAGAGGATAAGAAGGGCGATCAACACACGCCTGTGACGGGTGGAAATCCAACGCCGACACGGAGACTGTATGACAAGGCCAAGCCAGGCCAAAGAACACAACAACCGGCAACCAGGCAGACCTGGGAGGAGTCAAGCCTCCGTCCGCGCACGCTTCGGCGCCAGGAGCTCCTCGATCCTCAAAGTTTGACGCTCAAACAACTGATTCATCGCCTCCGTCAGCCGGGTTTCCTGCTGGTCCACCTTGGACGACACCGCTGAGAATCCCACCTCCAGCTTCTGGACACCCACTTCCAGGCTTTGCACACGACCTGAAAAATTCTTCGACACTTCCTCCATCTGAGCCTTGATTTGGGCCTGCAACCTGCCCTCCATGGCTTTAGTCGCCTCACCAGGAACAGCCGCCGGCGCAGCAGCAGCGTGGGCCCGAGCCCTCAAAGCGGAAGCCCACGGGTCATCCTCCTGCAAAGGATCCGGGCCTGAAGTGTTTTGCACTGCTAGGGAGCGACACACTGCCTTGGTGGCAATCACTTGCGGTGGTACATCTGGCTTTGCGGTTGCGGGTTTGACCTCAACTACCAGGACCTCAGCATTGCTGAGTTGAAGAACCTTCGCAGGCGGAGCTTCGGTGGCTTGCACAGCCCACCAAACACCAAGACGCTCCTGACCTGGTACAGGCTGCATAGGCTTGACGTGCCAGCCCCAATCCTTGAGCGAAGAGGCCAGGGCTCGCCTCTGAGTGCCAAAAGGCCAAGGTCCGGTATGAAACAACTTCGCCGTCTGACGATTGACATACGGGGTCCCGGGCTTGATCACTCCATGAAGAGCTTCAGCATGCTCACTCAAACACCTCAGTCCAGAGCGCGAGGACCGCCTCACTCGGGCTCACGACCTTGAAGGTGCCACTGAGGAAGGCACGAGCCCACACTTCAAGAAGGGCTGGCGGATCACCAGGAGCCGCAACCCCATGCCACTCATCGCATGTGCACCCCACCCGGGAGCAGGTTCGCAATGGAGCCACAACCTCCAAGATGGCCCGAATCGGCTTCTGGGTCATCAGACTCCAAGGCCCTTCCCATTCGTCGCGGTACACAGCAACCCTGAGCACAGCCGAAGGCGTCAAATCTAAGTTTACTGTGGTACTCGGCACAGCTTTGCCAACCCACTTGTCTCCAATCTGTAACAGCAACGCCGAAAGAAGGATGGGCTCGTCAGTTGCACGAACAAACGCACGGAACCGAACTGGTGTGTGCTTCAGGGTGGTTGCCGCAAGGTCAAAGGCACCAAACCCCAAACCCCCAAACCCTAAACCCTGGCCCTAAACCCCGGACTGTCCTGAATGTACACAGGACAGCTACCTCACCCACGCCACTGGCTCTGGCCTTGCTGCTGGGACTGACTCCTTTGGTTTTTGGGTTTGAGAGGGTTTAGGGTTCCTTTGATAGGGTTTCGGGTTCCTCAAAGGGGAATAATTAGACTAGGGTTCCTTTAAGGGACCTATAAGGGATCTGTAGGGTTTAGGGCTTTAGGGGAAAGTTGTTTAGAAGTTCGGAGAGTCGTAATAGGGCATAAGCGGGTCAGAATAGCCTTCAAGGCAAGTTAGATAGGCTCAAAATGCTCATTGAAAGCACCTCAACAAGGTATAAGTACCCTAAAACAAGGTACTCGGTACCCCTACTTCTTGAAAACAACGCAGAACCCTCACGTGGTTCAAGAAGTCGTAGCCTTTCCGGACAAATCAAATGATTTGCTAACGGATCTCGAAACAGCCCTTGCTGTGGGAGTGGAAACTTTTTCTGGAAGTACTGAATGACGGAAACCTAACCTTAAGCTCGAAAAAAGCCTGTGCCCAAATACTGCCGAGGTTTGTGAACTATAACCCTAGTCCTGGCAACGGAGCCTCCGGCCGTTGGCCGTTTTTGGAGCCTAACAGCTCCCCAAGCGTTTCATAGGCTTAGATCCCCAATACCCAACCTTTAACTAGGTAGGGCTTTGGGATATTTTGTATCTGCTCTTATTGGGCTTAAGAGGATCTTACCTACTAATATTTTTGAAGGGATGCAAGAGGCACCTCCTAGTCAAACTTGTTGGGTCTTTGTAGTTTAGTAGGACTCAGAAAGTTTAACCTTTATTTCTGCGGCTTATTGGGGTAGTAAGTAAGACGAGCCCTCAATCCCAAACCCGAAACCGATCGACTCTAACCTGCGACTCTGTGCTGAAGGTTTTTTGGGCTACCAAGGGCCTCCATAGTAGTTCCTTTTCGTGGGTTCATACTTTTAGAATCCTATAAGGTCATCCCAAATAAAAAGGAACTACTATGGAGCCCATGGGTATACCCAGAAGGCCCAGGCCTGTCCCAAAGCCCTCAACCACCTAGCTTGTTCCCGGGTTGTTTGGACGTGTTGCTTGAAGGAAACACTATGACATGAAAGTCTATACTTCTTTCCCTCCCACTCCCAGGTTACTTCAAAGTCCAGTGTTCCAGCGGCCTCAACCCCTAAACCCCTAAAGCCTAAACCCTAAAACCCCAAAACCCCTAAACCCCGAACCCCTAAACCCTAAACCCTCAACCCCTAAACCCAAACCCCTAAACGCCTAAACCCTAAACCCTTAAACCCTAAGCCGTATCAGAGCTTTCGGGTTTAAGATGCTCCAGGTTTCTCTCGGCCCCGGCCGCGGGCCAAAGGCGAGGTGGACGATCCAGACCCGAACGGACACTTCGATGGAGATGCACTTGCTTTTAGGGTTCCTTCAGGGTTCCTTCAGCACTTGTTATGAAGATTTGCTTGGAGTATGGCGTCGCATTGAAGTTTTTGGCTTTAGGCCTCAGTTTTCCAGGGGTTGGCTTAGGGCGGACAGTTTGGGCGGTTCATGTCTTGCTTGGGATTTTGGTTGTGCCGCAAAACTTGAAGTCTGGCGCCTGTGGTTGAGTATTCAGGCATTTATCCGAACCCCAAAACCCTAAACCGTAGGCCCCTAAACCCTCAACCCTAGGCCCCCAATCTACTCCCTAAGCCGTAGGCCCCTAAACCCTCAACCCTAGGCCCCCAATCTACTCCCTAAGCCGTAGGCCCCTAAACTACTAAACTCTTACTTAAACCCCTAGACCCAGGGTTGAGGGTTTAGAGGTTTAGGGGTTTAGGGTTTAGAGGTTCAGGGGCTTAGGCTGTAGAGGTTTAGGGTATAGGGCTTTAGGGTTTAGAGGTTTAGGGTTTAGGGAAATGAATCCTTTCGAACTTGGACAGAGGGAGCTCGAGCTACGGACGTTTAGGAATTGGCTTTTAGGGTTTAGGGTTTAGGGTTTAGGGGTTAGGGTTTAGGGTTTAGGGGTTTAGGGTTTAGGGTTTAGGGGTTTCAAGTTCAATCAAGATGCAGCGTTCAGGGTTCAGAGTCTGGTCCAGTTTGGCCTTGCATCTTCTCCAGACAGTGGCATAACACTTTAGGGTTCTTGCCTCACGCCGTAACCCGATATTCCCGAAAGTAGTGGTTAACCCCGTGGCCCCCTAGAAACGCTGCAGCAAAGCCCTATGAGCTCCATGCAATCTGGGGTACTTGAGTTCCATACTTCTTAGGGGTACCTAGAACTATTTGTTAATTTTTGGTTATTATATTCCCTAAGAAACATCTAAAATTATAATTGTTGCTAGGGTTCTAAGTTCAGTATAGACTTGAACACTGTATCTGTTGGACCCGTTCCATAAAGAGCCGATGTCATGAGATAAAGTATCAAATTACTTTCTTCTCCCTGGTTACATCAAAGAAAAGGAGTTCTGGGGCTAATAGGAAATTTCATCATCAGAAGTTCCAAGGACTGGCTGCTTGAGGAAATCTGGCAAACCCCATGCCCTCTGGACGTCAGGCTCGATGCTTCTGAACGTGGAGAGATAAGGACATAGACCAAGGTTTCATGTTCATTAGAAGGGTAGTTCTCTAAAATAGGGCTGTTTAGGGTCCCTGTTATAAGCGTGCTGTACTGTAGTGGTACCTGAAAGGGACCTTGCTAAAGAGGACTACTCACACAGGTCAGGAAATGAATACTCGTGCACTTCATCAGGTTCGCAAATCGATTTGCAGGATTCTTGGCATATGCCGCGGCCGGCCAAGAAGAACAGTCTTGTGAAGCTGGACAGGTGAGGGACCCTAATCCCATTGCTAAACCGTAATATAGGGGCCTTGATACTTAGCTATACTATTTTGGGGGGCTCCTTCTTATACTTATCGTAAAATTTACCCCCAAAACTCTATTCTACTTATTAAGGCCCCTGATCTGAAACTGCCGAAAGTAAGCCTGCCAACGTGTCCCTTCTCCACGTTTTGGTCATCGAGGAGATCGACTTGCTGTCAGCCGCCTTGGGGGTTGCTTAGGGTCTCTTCTTGGAGGTTCCTGGGTAGTTATAAGGGTTCCTGTAAGGGTCCCTTTAAGGGGATCTATACGGATTCTATAGGGGTATAGGGTTTAGGGCCTGAAACTCCAAGTTGAAGTACCAGGACCCCCCCAAACTGGCCTTTAGTAGAGCCCTTATGGTCGTTGGTAGTGGGTATTTCGGGTAGAATAGAGGGTAGCTAGGGGGTCTAGGTTATAAGGTTTCTTTAAGGGCCCTGTCAGGGTTCTATAGTGGATCACAGCACCCAGTAGGATTTTTCCGTTCTTTGAATGGGGAGGTTTTTTGCAACCTTACCGACTAAGGCCCTTGTACATTCAAGCGAACCCGATGAAAGCCTGCAACTTCCAGGTTTAGGGTTTAGGGTTTAGGGACCCTTCATGAAGCCCTGGAAACTCCTAGTTACTGAGTCTCATGATCCTTCAGCTCCTTCCTCACGCCTCGAAGGCTTGCAGGGCTCGAGGCTTCAGGTTGAGGATTGAGGCTTCGAGGGCTAGGTCTTGGGACTTAGTAGTTCCTTTAAGGGTACTATAGGGTTCTATAATAAAGGGCTCCTTAAAGGGATCCTTAAAGGGATCTATAAGGGTTCTATAATGGAGGGTCTTGGGTCATTGGGTTTAGAGTGAACGGTAAGGAGCAAGGAAATAAGAAATTATTTTTGCAGTGTACGATGCTCCACGGTATTTGCAAAGCTGGCCATGCCGGCCTAGCAATCCCATATAAGCGGAACACTGAACTAATTTTGCAGTCGACCTTGCATTCGAACGTTTAAATACATATCTTATTTCCAGGCGAGAATCCCATATATAACGCAACCGCAGAGAGGCAGAGAGTGAGAAAGGCATAGAGAGAGGAGAAAGGGAAAGGGAGCCAGAGAGAGAGAACAGAGAGAAAGATAGAGAGAATAATAGAGAGAAGAAGACAGAGAGATAGAGAGAGAGAGATAGAACGCGACACAGAGAGAGAAGAATAGAGAGAGGTATATATATATATATATATATATAGAGAGAGAGAGGAACATGGATTTAGGATAATTAGTGTTTGGCAACGAGGATAACGATGTTCCAACTTTCTGGCTTCTACTGTAGGTCTTGGGGGTTTGTACTCCTACATTCCTGCGATCGTTAATCCAAAGATGCTCACACCACAAACCTTTGTGAGCTTGCGCGGTTCGAGTCGGCGGTATCCAGAGCCGAGAAACGAAGCCAGCAAACATCCCGCGAGCCGCGATCCAAAAGCCTTAAAATCAAAATAATGGACCCTAAAAGCACATAAACATGCGCATTTTATGTGGATAGCCCTACCTTATTGGCCTTCCTTTTAAAAAGGGTTCATGCTTTTGGGGGGCCCTACACAAGGCAACCACGCATTCGCAAGAACAAAGGCGGAAATCTTGTGTTTTTCGGACAGGGGCGACGGGCTCTCCTTGGACACGATGAAGGAGTGCCCTGGCTTGGCTTCAGCAGCCTCGTTGAGCCACCTCGAGCTCTTTTCTGCGAGACCCTAGTAAATCTCTTTGGGTTCTTGTTAAGGGATGTAATGTAAAATACCATAATAAACAGACATATTATTTACTATATATCCCTATCATGGTAACTTCAAGTAATTCAGTAAATTCCCTAACAAGAAGCCAGTTCTTCATGAGTGTTTCAGACAAGATCCTCCAGACTACCAGAACCTGATTCTTGTGCGAGTTTCTTGTACAATTTACCAGAGGAGTTTCAGACAAGGTCCTGCCAACTTCGAGTTTTGTGCGAGTCCGTGTGAATTCGGGACTCACAAATTGAATGCTCCCACACAAACAGGATTTTCACTGGGACGTAGTGTTGCATGCTGATGAATCCAGGAGCTTGTTAGAGACACTATCCGTCCAAGGGGCTGGCAAAATGAAGGATGGTGGCTATAATGCAAGCCCCTATACAACCCAAAACCAATCTCAACCACGATAAAGGCCCCATGGTTGTGATAGTTCACTGAGTTCTGGAGTACCATCTTGAATGCCTTTTTTACCTGTTCCTTGAAGGAGCCATTATGAAATAGATGTCTATATTCTGCCTCGTTTCTTCAAAATCCAGATTCCGTCAGGTCTCCAAAGCCCCGAATTTGTCAGAAGTTGAATCTTAAGAGGTTCCGGGTTTAGGATGTTTAGGATTCAGGGTGTCGGCTCGAGGATGTCTGGGGTTCAGGGCTTACAGTAGAAGCCAGAAAGTTGGAACTTCATTACCCTCATGCCCTTAAAGGTAAAGTATAGGGGATCCTACTGTTGATGGAGGAAATCTTGCACCAGTTTAATTGGCCAAGCCAAGCAGACACCCCACTCCCCCTTTTTAACATTGACCGGTGATCCTCGGAAGTGCCGTGGGTTCCAATGACAAGAATCTTGCACCACCACCTCGGTATCCATCATCTCCAATGTTAAAAAGGGGGTGCGGGGTTATGCTCAAGTGTCGTGTCACCTGTTACTAGGCAGATGGTGCAAGATTTCCTCCATCAACCGACAGGATCCTTCTCGCTGAGACAAAGTAGCCTGTGTCTTCAATCGACTGTACCACGCATCCTGTGACGGGTACCATCCACATGCAGACCAAGCCCGATACATGTCCAAGAAAGCGATACGGCAAGCTTGTTGGCACCGCTGCTTGCTATAGGTACTGCCCAAGACCACACAAGCCGACTGTGGTTGCAGGCTTCCAGGATGCGACTTTTTTTAGCACCCTGACCCGGGTACTCCACTTCGATCCAAGTCTGCTCCATGCCACTCCGCGGCACTCCGGTGGGACTCCCACAGCTCCTCGTGTATTTTGGCTTAGTGTAAAATCCTTACATTTCCCACAGTTAATGCTCAGTTAACACTCAGTTAACACTCAGTTAACACTACAGTTAACACTACAGTTAACACTGCCGAAATGCTGCAAAAACCAGCATTTTCTTCAAATGTGTATAAAAGACACTAAAACTACCAGTTTTTCTTTTTAAAATGCGTGTATTCTGCAAAATGCTGGTTTTTGCGGCATTTCGGCAGTGTTAACTGTAGTGTTAACTGTAGTGTTAACTGAGTGTTAACTGAGTGTTAACTGTAGAAACGGCACACTATGCAGTTAACACTTATTACTCTGCCGAAATGCAAGGAAAACCTGCCTTTAGTACCCCGGTCCTTGACACACAGTGACACACCGACACACATGGTGAGATGGTGAGGGATCGATATTGTGGCTTGTCATCACTTGCATACTGCTTACTGTGACGACAGTGTAAGGTACTGTTGATGGAGGAAATCTTGCACCAGTTTAATTGGCCAAGCCAAGCAGACACCCCACTCCCCCTTTTTAACATTGACCGGTGATCCTCGGAAGTGCCGTGGGTTCCAATGACAAGAATCTTGCACCACCTCGGTATCCATCATCTCCAATGTTAAAAAGGGGGTGCGGGGTTATGCTCAAGTGTCGTGTCACCTGTTACTAGGCAGATGGTGCAAGATTTCCTCCATCAACCGTAGCTCTAATCCTCCCTAAACCCTAAACCCTAAACCCTAGGCCCTAGACCCTAAATCCATGTTCCAACTTTCTGGCGCCTACTGTAAGGTGTTCAGGGGTTGGGGGTCGGAGGCTGGCCGGTTGGATTCATGGCACCGCCCCGGGACCCTTGCTATAGTCAAAGGGGGGGACCCTTAATGGGGACCCCTACCCTACAATGGGCTATATAATGGGTATATAATAGCTATATTAAGGGTATATACCTAGGGGATCCTTATCGAGGGTCCCTCGTTTTACCCTTGGATATAGGGGTCGGAGCCTCTCGCCGAGGCTGATGATAAACTTCGCCAAGCTTGCAGGCTCCACACTTCCATGTCTCAGGGGTTTCTCAAAATTGGGGGTTCCCTTGTTGGGTTCCTATTAAAATACGGCACCTATTATTTAGAGTACCTAGAAAGGGGCCCTAGTTTTGACAACCACCCATGTCTCAGGGGTTTGGGTTTGAGGGTTTAGGGCCTGGCAAGGGGGTTTAGGGCTGGAGGGTTTCGGGTTGGAGGAGGCTTTTAGACGCATTCAATTCACCCAGTGGCCGTTTAGGATTTAGTGTGAGCGTTCTTAGGCTTAAGAGTTCGAAGTGAGACGAGTACATTCAGCTTTGGCTTTGCAAAGCTGTTCACCAGAGGCCAGAACCTGGGTTTGGAGTACCATACTTGAATACTTTTTTGGTACCTGTTCCTTAAAGGAACCATTATGAAATAAAAGTCTCTGCTTTGTCTCCCTGATTACTTCAAAATCCAGAGAAGGGCTTAATCACCTCCTGTATCTACTGACCAAGTTGTTGTCTGGATCCTGCAAAGTTATGATATAACATAGCCTCCTCTTGCTGGCTTAGCCGGTGAGCCCTTGACCCTCAGTGTTGAACCCGAACGCCCTCAATCCAAGACCTCAGAATCCCGAAATCCCACAGCGCTGAACCCTAAAACCTCGAGCCGTGAAGCCCTTTCGGTGTCTATGTTCCTGAACCCTGCGACTGCAATCCCGAAAACCCCTAGCCTAAATTCCCAAACTTTCGCCTCTTGTGAAATCCGCACAAACCCTAAACCCTAAACCGAATGCTCTGTAGGCTAGTATGGGGTAATGTGGTGTGGTGGTGAATCCCCACATGTGCCAAAGCTGGGGCTGCCAAGGCCTCTGCCCGATGGGCATTCCGCTTAACACAGAGTGGCGAGAGGAAAAGGGGCGAGTAAACAACAAAAGAAAACGAATGCTCTTGGTCCTCCCACCCAAGACGCCGCAGCCAGAGAAAGGTTTCCCCTCGTACCAAAACGGGTGGCGCCAGACACATCAGCAGAACTGAACGGGCTCAGCAGCGGCTCGCGACAACATGTACACCTCATGGCTGCAGTCGCACGGTGGAGAAGCAACATCGAGGTTTGTTGCCACATAAACGGCGCAGCACTTCTCCGCGCCTCCTGGCAGTGGCTTTAGGGCTTGGCGTCTAGGGCTGAATAGGGGTTCTAGGATTTGGTTCAATTTTAATTGTCCTTTTGGTTATTGGAGCTTCCGCGTTAGCAACCCCAAGCCGGAAGCCCGATAGCCCCAAAGCCTCAAAGGTGAGTCCCTAGAAGTCCTAAACTCCCGAACCAAATCCATGCTACTTAAAGGGTCATGGGACTTAGTAACTAGGGTTATAATTACGGTAACTATACTTATAACCCCAACAAAGGTACTCATAACCTTACTAAGTCCCATGATCCTCCAAGTAAACCCCAAAATCTTCAGGCCTTCCCTAAACCCTGAACCCTGGAACTCTAAACCCCTAAACCCTACCTTAAGCCGGAATAACCTACCTTTTTAGGGTTCCTTATGATGATTTCCTTTTATAAATCTTAAAAAGGTAGGTTATTCCGGCTTAAGGTAAGACCTAGAGCCGGTACCCTCAAGCCCGCCTTCCCTCGTGCTGCAAATCAGAAGGCCCTGAAGCCCATGATACTTAGTGGTCCAAAACCCAACTTTTCAACTTTTTGGGGCTCTAAAAAGGTAGTCTTGCTGGGAAGTTCGATCTTTTTCTTCCCCCATAGGTATTTGGGAAGTAATCGCCCTTTAGCCCGAGACGCTGAGACTCCCAAGCCTAAAGCCCGGCGACCCCGGACCTTGCTGAAGGATCCAAAAAATTAGTTTGGTAAGGGTTATACCCTATAGTTACAGTAAGCCCCAAAAAGTTGGAAACCGGACTAAAGCCAAATAGTGCTGGGATTCCCACTACATTACTCGTATTCAATGAGGCTGTTGGGTTTCCAACTTTTGGGCTTCTGCTGTAAAGGGTGAAAACCTACTACTATGCAGGGTCTGGCGCTTTTTTGAAGGATCATGGGACTTAGTAATTAACTAGGGTTATAGGTAAGGTACCTATACTTACAACCCCCATTAAGGTACTTATAACCTTACTTACTAAGTCCCAAGATCCTCCAAGTATGGGTAAAGCCTTTGAGCCCCGGAGGTCGTTGTGCCGAGCATGTCGTCGTCTTGGAACCCTTGGAGGAGGCGTCTTCAGGGGCTGGGTTGCTTCTGTTGGCGTCTGCAGGGGCTGGGTTGCTTCCGTTGTGTTTCTGAGGATGGGGGCGATCAGTTTCTGGTGGGGTTTAGCTCGAGGCTGTCCAACACTGCTTACCCTTCATCCAGGTTTCCATCTTTCTGTGGTCCGCTGAGGGCTTTCGAGTTTTGTGGCTTCGGGCTCTAGGGCTTAATTTGACAATTTGCGAACAGAGTCTTGAGGGTTGCGTGGGTTTAGGGTTTGGGGTCTCGGGTTCTAGATACTTGTAGTCTGGCATTGGGGCTTGCTGCTATGATTAGCCTGAGTTTGGAGTACCATACTTGAATACTTTTTTGGTACCTGTTCCTTACAGGAACCATTATGAACTAAAAGTCTATACTTTTTTCTCCCTGGTTACTTCAAAGTCCAGTTAAACA